TGAGGTTATTAACTATACCCTGTAAATTCTCACCCATACCCACAGTTTTTGTGGGGCGAGATTGACGTTCACTTATATTGTAACCGGTGTGAAGGATTAAGGATTAGTCACAATTTTAAATATCTTCTTCCTTGATTTATGCCTCCATCGGTTGTTCACCAAGTAAACTAATCACAGTAACAGAACAAAAATGCATCACATGCCTGCAGTATATCTCGTATCTCAGAAAAAAATGAAAAATGCTGTAGTTGATGGTGGCAAAAACAAAATCATTGTTGCCTTGAACCAGAAAAGCTTTTATTGTGAGTAATGGCCGTGGGCTGGAGTGTTATATTGATGTATCACGAAGTGCTACTAATTGAATGAACAGTCATGAAAAAAATATATATACTGTATATACCGTATGCAGTATATTTTCACGTGGACGTCTTTGGAGTGTGAGGAACAACAGCCATTAATGGGAAGTATCCATCAGGGTGTGTTGACACAGCAGTCAACGGTGACGCTTATTATAGTTTATACACCCGCCACTTATGTAGTCACGATTCAAAGTTTCGACACCTGGCTGGGTGTCCGCCGAGGCCAGGGTTGAGGTAAGGCTGGGTGATCGGACGCAGACATTCCACCACCACAACACTGTAGTGGATTCCTCCCCTACAAGCACCGAACAACACTCCGAGACTCACAACACACGAGCGTGGAAGGAAATTCTTACGAATTTTGACATGGCATGCACTTGCATAACAAAATTTCATTCATAACATTGTTGGCACATATAACAATAACAAGTTAGGAGTGAGGCATGTATAGGCCTCACCTTGTCGATTGACCGCTCACTCCCTCTTGAAATTCGGCCGCTGGTCACCCTTTATATATGCCGATTCATGTGTAATACGATGACTCGCATCTAGTGGTTCCAAGTTAGTGTTTTGGGACCGGGCAGAGTTTTTCATGCTCCTATCTTAACATGATATTGTTATATATGGCAACAAAGTTATGAATGCATTTGTTATGCAAGTTAATGCCATGTCAAAGTTCGTAATAAGTTCCTTCCTGTGCTCGTGTACTATGGGTCTCGGAGTGTTGCGGTGGTGGAATCTGAACCTCACCATCGTAGTGCCTCGTTACCACATTGCTGAACTAGTCTGCGTCCGATCACCCAGCCTTACCTCAACCCTGGCCTCGGCGGACACCCAGCCAGGTGTCGAAACTTTGGATTGTGACTTTACATTACTGTATACTGGACACCAAACATGCATAGATTCTCCACAGTTATATAAATTTGTACAGTAATACCTTGGGTTACGTGACACTAAACATACGTAATTTGACTTTACGTATAAGTCCCATTGAAAATAATACAAATACTGTATTTAAGATGCGTGGAAATTTTACTTAGCGTTACGTCGACGGGCACCACCTACCGTCCCTTTAAATTAATGAGTCAACACTAAGAATTAAGATACTGTGCTATTTTTTATAGTACTGGTTAATGTTCAAATCACCATCTATAATCAATAAATACAGTAGTTTAGTTTATTTCAATGTATAGAGAATGATAATGTACTGTACTGTAGTTATTTAAGTCTTAAAGATTGCATTGCCTTACTTCGCCCTGGAGAAGTTTTACAAAAATGTTTTCTGGCTCTCCTCCTTTTGAGTCAAGCGATGTTTATTATAGATAAGTTATTGATGACTAACATGAGAGACTTTGAAATTAATTGTCCTAATTGCCGTATGTTTAGTACGATACACCAGGGGCGGATCCAGGAATACCAAAAGGGGGTTCCAAGAAGTTGTGGTTGGGGGGGGACATGGCGAGCACAGAGAGCCCACCCAGCTTCTTTTTTTTTTGAGGGGGGGGGTGTAAGCCCCCAGATTTTATTTATTTTTTTATCTGACAAATATCATGGACATTTTGAGGACATTTTGAAGTCGCTTATGATATAAGGAGATATTCTGAGGTCAATAGTAATTACTTTTTACTATACAAAAACTCCTGAGTACAATACTGCATTAAAGAAAAAATATTGGAATTTTCTGATGAAAAGGGGGGGGGGGTCCAGATCCCCAGGAACCTCCCCTGGATCGGCCACTGTACACGAGGTATGAGGATGATATATTTTGCTTAATTCCAGTAGTGTTATTTGAGATATTGTGAGCCAGGGATGGTTTTGTACCTAGACTTGGAGAATATTTGGATTGTGAAAATACTAACAAAACCAATTTTCAACTCAAATATGAACTTCAGTGTGTATTGGTAATAATGATTGTTATTATTTATACCTTTTTATTTCCTCTTGTGAAAAATTTAGGCTTAGAGCAAACACAGGTAAGAAATACGAATAATAATAATTTTATTTGAAATTCTACATGTTCGGTTTAGTTTAGTTTTGTATTTCAGGAAAACTAAGGCTTGGGTTCGGCTGGTAAGTTCACTTTGACACTATTGCCACTTCTAAACGTGTTAAAATAACTCTAGTATTGAATTCAAATAAAACTATCAACTTCCTGTGTTATAGTAGAGGTGAAACCTTTTATTTGCTATGTCATATGATTTGCCCGCCTTTGTGAAGAAAATTGGCCCTATTTTCACCCATTATTTTTGGTCATAAATATATCAAATGTATCAACACACAGAGTATAGTTTGTGCAACCTCGCGCACCAAGAGAGATTAGAAGGTCTTCAACTGCCTAGTTTATATAACAAAACGATCAAGAGTGATTGATCGCTTCACTACGGGGACACCGCTTAATATTTTATTTAGCTGAAGTCAGGCTATTCATTTAGCACAGAGGGGCTCCCATACAAAAGTGGTTAAAAAAAAAGGCTTTTAAGCACCTTGGAATAACTCGTCAGAAAAAGTTGTGACAAAACCGAGTGTATGCTCATTTAAGATCAGGCCTGACCAACATTGACGCATGTTCTGAGAACCCGTACGAGACATGCCCTGTGCTTGCTAACTGTGTGGAAATGACCGGCCAATTCAGTAACTTCTGCCCTTTCATTTTCTCCAGATTTATTTTCCGCCAGAACGCTTAAATCGGGAGTTGAATCACAAATACACTTACTGCATTTTGAAGTGAAAATATAAATAGAATACAATAATGAATATGGCAGTGACCATTTTGGAAAAAATGCAAATTAGTGCAGTATAGTCTACAAAACCGGTGATTTTTTTTCTAGATTTATGCCATTCAGCGGTCATTTCTAATACTCGAGATGAACACTATATAAATTATCTTTTTCGTTTTTAGTTTTCCATAATTACCTGGACTTCTACTTGTAACGTAATCGAACTACCTGTAAGTGTCTATAAATTGAATGTATTTGGACTACATTTAATATAATTGAACATGAGAGCCAAACGTAACCGGACTGGGAAGGAGCAACTGGGTCTTGAGTAGTATTTTGGTGGGAGATGAGGTCATGTTTGTAATAAATTTCACGAAAAACAGAGATTCGATAATTGGTGACCCAGCAATACAGTAACTACACACAGTCTAGGGTCTACGGGACAATGTGTTTTGTCATACATACAGTCCATATATAACAGTGTATAAGATAATGTATCTGTAGAAATCATATTTATGACTTCACTAAGATATTCTCTCTTTTTTTTTCGTTTTATTACATAGAACACTTGCATAGTGGAAATAATTTTTTTTTGTGTGTAATGAGTGTTCAAGAAATTAAATTACTTGAATTTCCAACATAATGTTTATTGCTATCGATACTTACAAATAATTACAATTTGCAAATGATGTTTATTATTTTTGTTACCTTTATCTCAGACATTGTATCATATATGTTTATATTATAACCTTTACTGACACTGAAGCAATAAATCCAAATTAATCGTGCCGGTTTTTCAAATATTTTAGAAGTATTGTGGTTTTTTTTATATAATTCCTTCTATAATTTAAGTAAAATTATGTATACTAGGTATTTTGTTTTTATGGATTTTCTTAATTTATGTTGATTTTTGTACAAATATAGTATAAGTGTTTTAAGAAAATCTGGATCTTGTGTTGCTGGACGGTACAGGAACCAGAGTTGCCAACTTAGCGACTTTGTAGCTAGATCTAGAGCTTTTAGTTTTTTTCTAGCGACATTTTAGAGCGATTTGCGACTTGTCTCAAACCTAGAGATATCCACAGAAATCTAGCGACTTTCTGGATACTTTTGGACTGTCCATGAAAACTCAGTTTTCCTAATTTCGAGCCATAATATATAGCAACGGGGTTACAGGGACAATAAATAATAAGAAAAGTTTAATACATTTGAACGGGTCGTGGTACAGAAGGAGGGACACGTCTATTTCCTGATCACTTGATGTCAGCCCGTGTCGTTGCCGTGTCGTCATTTATTTGTCTATTACCTTCGCCTTAGTAGCACCTGGGTAACTTACCTCTTTGTCAGATATGCAATATGAATTTCATTAATACGCTAAATTTTAAAGAATATTAGCAAAACATCTTATAAAATTAATTCTATCAAGCCTGCGTGGTTCCAAACTTGTCATCCGCGTCCACCATGGGTGACCCATAGACTCCATACAGTTGCCCCGACACTGTTCACCCGCTTTGCCAAAAACCATCAAGGAAAGTTTCCGCTTGTTTGCATGCTGTTTATTAATTTGAACCCTTCATAGTCCCAATAGAAAATGGGTAAGCCACAGTATTCGCAGCGATTTAGGAAGGAATGGCTCAGAGATGACAGATACAAAAATTGGCTTCTGGAGGTGCCAGGAGATAATAAAAAATGATTTTGTAAATTTTGCAAGTGTACTTTGTCTGCTAAGTTGTGCGACATTGAAAAACACAAAATACAATAAAAAACACAAGAAAGCAGAAGAGCCGTTTAGTGCAGAAAGACAGACAATTTTACCATTCAAGAAACTTGGGAATAATAGCTAGCGACTTTCCATGGAAGATTTAGCGACATTTAGCTACTTTTAGGTACCAGCCTAGCGACATTTGAAAATCCGAGTTGGCAACACTGACAGGAACACCTCCAAGTGTAAATAAAAGAGTAACACCGTGATGTAATACAGTGGCTGTGTTCTATAGTTGTGTTTTAGTAGCCACTTGCTATATTATCAGCACAAACTGTTCATCATGTATAGGTCATTAAGAACTGTCACTGTAGTGTGTTGTGATACAGGAGCCAGGACGCCTAGAGAGTACTGGCGTCTCTTACAAACTCCATTACTTTGTGTGTCAAACAGAAGATACGCCTACAGTACGTTCTTCCCCAAACAGAATGTGTCGACATTTAATCTCGTGAACAAATTTTTATCAGGCAAACCTGTAAATATAGTGCCATTGATGCGTCACTTGAGCATTGGTGTCCAACGACAGCAGAAATCTGAGGAGAAAGAGCCTAGTGGTGGTACAAAAGCCAGCTTCATCAGTCGAGGAACAAGATCAACACTTTACTATATAGCTGCTGTATGGGTACTTGCTTTTGGGCTAAGCTATGCAGCAGTGCCCCTTTACAGAATATTTTGTCAGGTATTATATCTTGGTTATAGTTCTTTTGCACATTGGTACTGTAATTTTAGTAAAGGTGGAGGAAACGGTTCTCACCTAAAAGAACTTATGGAATTGCACCATAATTTTAGAGATGTTATTTGCATGGTACTAAATAAATAGGAAAATCGATACAGCAATGTACAGAATGTAACAGAACCTGACCTAACCAACCTAACCTTACCCAAACAGAGTATTAGGTTTTATATCTAGAAGTGGAAGTAATAAGAGTGCGGAGGTCATGTTGCAACTATATCTTGCGCTAGTCAGGCCGCACCTCGATTATGCTGTTCAGTTCTGGTGCCCTTATTATAGAATGGACATCAATTCACTGGAGTCGGTGCAGCGAAGAATGACAAAAATGATTCCGGGACTTAGAAACCTTCCATATCAAGATAGATTAAAGAAACTAAACTTGCATTCCCTAGAAAGACGAAGAGTGCGGGGAGATATGATAGAAGTATTTAAATGGGTGAAAGGAATCAATAGAGGAGATATAAAGTTCTTGTAATATCCGAGCAGGATAGGACTCGTAGCAATGGATTTAAGTTGGATAAGTTTAGGTTTAGGAGGGAGATAGGATGGGACTGGTTCACAAATAGGGTGGTGGACGAGTGGAACAAGCTTAGCAACTTAGTAGTAAGTGCTAGGATGCTGGAAAGTTTTAAGAGGAGGCTAGATAGATTCATGGACGATAGAGAGTGGTTGTAACTCTCGACAGGAGCTGCCATGTACAGGCCAACCGACTTATTGCAGACTCCTTGTGTTCCTATGTTGCTAACACCCTCTGGACCCCCAAGCAGAGGTAGAAAATAGCCTTAATCGTGAGATCCAGTGTTACACTGAAACAATTTCAGTAATGTCGGTTGAATGTCACTTCCCTGCCGCATTTTTGACAATTGCACGTCCTTCCTAGCGGTCTTTAACATGGTCTTGATCCTCAGGAAACATAGACGGCTTGTGATAACTTAGGTGTTTTCCTGTAGATGATGCCATAAGTGTGTGCATAAGGCAATGTATCTCCGACTGTCCTTGTAGATTATGCTTGTGACTTGTAATGGTTTGCTTTTTTATAGATTTTGATAAAATATTTCATTTTAGTTAGCTATAGGGAAGGCAGCCACCATTAGTGGAAGTTCATGTTCATTACATTCTATTTTTGTGCATATGGGGAATGCAGGAACCCTTAGCCATTGATTAGATTAACTCCTAGACTTCGGTTCATGTCATATGCCATGTGCTTACAGGGTTTTGGTTCATGGCATATGACGTTCAGTAATTTCGTGGTACTGTTTGAATCAGCACACAGACTTGGCTAGATTATGTTGCCAAGTAGGCAGTTATCTTTCACTCGCTCCCTTCTCGGTAGCTTTTCAGTTTTGATGGAGGGATCTCTCCCTTCGACTTTGTGCCTCACCACATGTTTCTGCTCCTAACCCCCAAGTGCAAGTATAGTAGGGGTGTTCTTAACCATTCAGCAGATTAATGATCAATTACTGAAAGCAATAAATACATAAGTTCATGTAATAACATAATACTGCCCACAAATCAGTGTTTTTTTTACTTCGTACTGCCAACCTTACCCCACTGCTTTACACACACACTCATGGCTTCACACACATTCTAGACTCTTCTTAGTCCTGGTTATGCCAACCTGTAGAAAGGATATATTTTGTTATATCATGCATGACTAGTGTGTAAGGTTAGATTTGTTTAAATTTTCCCTTATGTACAAGCATGGGGGTGGGGGACACATGCCTACTGTAGCCTGATGCCAGGGGGGTTAAGGAATAAATAGCTTTGTTTTATACATATACTATACCTGCTTCACATTGGAACAGGCATCCATGTGTCCAACCACACTAAGGCAATGTAATACCAATTAAATATTCAGTTCTTTTATTGTTAGGCAACCTTGGTTATTAGATAGGGTAGTTTTCTGTAGCTTGAACCTTTTAAAACCTTGTTTGTAGTTAATAACTACATGTTTGTCATTTACACAAACATGTGCAAACACACACACACACACATGCTCATGGGTACTCTTGAACAATCAACAGGCCTACAGCTATGGAGGAACTCCCCAAGAAGGACATGATGCTGAAAAAGTTGAGTCGATGCAAACGGTTGAGAGTCGAAAAATCAGAGTCCGTTTTAATGCAGACACAGCAGCTTCCATGACCTGGAACTTCAAGCCTCAGCAGAGTGAAATTAAGGTAAGTTAAGATAATCCAGTGTTATTTTTTTATAGGTCATCAGACATGATAAAAAAATTATAATTAATTGGAGTAAATTTTACTCCAATTAATAAATTGATGCTCGTGTAGCATGGCAAATGGCCATAAAACTTTGATGATGATAGCCATCTTACTCCAGTACAATAGTGTGATGGGAGAGTGTTGATTCATACATTTTCCATTTTTAAACACTTCATGCTTAGTTTCTAAAAATGCATTACCTGTTCGTATATTATGTTTTTACATCTGAAGATTTGTATGTTGGAATACAAAAGTTGGGTATCTTGGCACCTTGTTGTGGGAGGAGACACAACTGGTAAGGCAGCTAGCACACGAATGTTAGCTAATTAGTGTGTGTGTTGCTCTTAATTGTGGTCATCCTGCACTATAGTGGTAAAGGTTGTGCAAAAGTAAGAAAAATAATATGTATTCAAACAACTAACTTCCTCAATATATAGAGTCTTCTGTTATTTTTATTCAAACAGGTTCATCCAGGTGAGACTGCTTTAGCATTCTACACTGCCAAGAATCCTACAAACCGTCCTGTGATTGGTGTGTCAACCTATAATGTTGTTCCATTTGATGCTGGTCAGTACTTCAACAAAATCCAATGCTTTTGCTTTGAGGAACAGCTTCTAAATCCCCATGAGGAGGTTAGTAGTGAAACACAATTATCACTGTAAATACTTTCACATTTTCAATAATTATTTTTATTCTTCTGCCATGCTATCAAAGATAAACAATAGGATGTACATTCCACCACGATTATCACTACCTCAGCCCCAAGGTGTTGTAACTCTACATTTTGAAAGAAAAATTGTGTACAGTACTACCAAAAAAGGACTACAGTATCTTACATGATCTGATTGATAATTTTTTTGAAAAACCACATCGCGATGTTAAGAGAATACTATATTGTACTGAAATACTGTATTGTACTGAAATACTGTACTTCATGTACCATAATTTAATGTCAGCTTACTAAAGAGAACGTTTTAAATTTATCTTTTACAAACATACTAATGAAGGAGTTATTACACTTGCCCTGAGTCTGTATTATTTCACATCAAATTTGATCATGTCTACTTCCTGCTACACTTGTCTGTGGTGTCTTATCTTACCTTCATAGCATTGTTTCGTTTGGTGAAAACACAAATTAAATACTTGGCTTATTCTGTATAGAAACTAGACATTAAGATCTCCAGCTGGCTGATGTTTCACCTGTGAAATGAATCTTGATAAAATCACACAGGAAAATGGAAACAACGGAGTACCTTAGCTTTCGTCTTTATTCAAGACATCTTCAGAGGCAACTGGATTACATGGACAAATAAAACAGTTATTCAGTATTAAGTAGTACAGTACAGTTTTCTTAATCTTCAATAATTCATTGGTAATTCTGAGTATTTCTTAATGACTGTCATCCTCCATATACTACTGTACTACACATTGTGAACCCTCTGAAAAATTAGCAGAGCTACCCTTGACATCTACTACATCTACTAGAAATACAGTACATGTACTGTACTCATCAAAGAATTATATATATGTTATTTTCACTCCTCTTCCACTTTTGTATGGGATGGCTTAAGGGTACAGCACTCTTAAAGAAAGGGGGAGATGATAGGGGAGTGCAGTGTGAGGCAAGTGTAGAAAGCAACAAGAAAGGGATAAGACAACAGGTAGAAATATGTTTGCATATCCACAACTTATAAATACAGTACGTATACAAATTGAAGCCTCAGCCTTAAGAAAGTGAACTTCAGTTCTAGTAATCCTTCTGTGTTCATTTTCCAGGTACACATGCCTGTCTTCTTCTACATAGACCCAGAATTTGCTGATGACCCAAAAATGCAGAATGTGGACATCTTGACGTTGTCTTACACATTCTTTGAGGCACGAGAGGGGCTCCAACTTCCAATGCCTAAATTTGCATAGTAGAATGTAAGTGAATTTAAAGAACTGTAGTAGAGTAACATGGGTATGGTTGTAGAACAGGGCTTTCATTATAAACTGGTTACTGGTCAAAATCTCGTATTCAACCAGACCACTTCTAATTGTTTCTGCATCAGAATTTAAATTTATCTACTGATTGAAAAATTAAACCCACCATAGGTCATCTCATCACACACTACAGTAAATTCATGTTATCACTCAATCTCTGTAATTTTTTTACAATTTTCTTAAGTTATATAGCAGGTGGGCCAGGGGCTCCATGATCCCCCTGCCTCTAAATGTACTCTTTGGACCTTCTAACTAAACATCTAGTGAAAAACCTGATATTATGTGATGAAGATGTAGTTGACGAGTCATAATTTTGATTACAGTATTTATATACTGCACTCTATTGTACTCTGATTAATTTTTCTGGTTCAAAATTAGACTTAAAAGGTCAGTGCAGGTTAGATTGTGGAAGAAATGTTTGTATTCAATGAAACTGTAAATATGTACGTATATATAATTGTTAATTAAATTAAAAGAATTATATATCCAAACCCCCTTTTTTTTAATAATCAAATTGTATTTTTCTTATGTAAGTTTAAATGCAATTCTCAATTATCCAGAGTTTCTTATAGGGAATGGGGATACAGTCTGGTGGCTTTGGGATCATTAACAGACCAACCATCCAACGGTTGGTTAGCTGATAAGTGGTGACATGATAAATTAGGCGGGCAGTTCCAGAAATTTTCCATGGGGTGGCATACATACACAAAGGGTACCTGGCATACAGGCGAGAAATTGCTTTTGGTATACTATATGTGTATCAACACTGTTGTAAAATACATACAGTACTGTACTACTACTGCCCAGACAGATTTAATTCCAACAAGAAAAATATATAAATAAGAAGTGAAATATCATATACTAAACGTATCATTCTGTTAAGTTACACATACAGTCAACCATAGACAATAATAACAGTTTATAGATTCACTGGTTAAGTCAAGCGAATACTCAAGACAGTTGTAAGGTTGGAGAGATGTCAAAGATTGGCAAGTACCGAAGAAGGTAGGGTGTAGTGGGGGTTATTCCTCCCGTGGATTTTTTGTTTTTTGTTTTATGTGGTGCATTTTGAGTAAGGTCCTGTGAATTTTTGTATTTATTTAATTTCTTAATTTTTTAGTAATACAGTAATTTATTTGTTTGCACAAACCTTTGAGAATTCACACTCAATATGATAAAGGAGTTGGACAGAGTAGAGGGTTGACAGTGGGGTGTAGAGAGCAGGTATTATGTGGGCAGGGCAGTAGGGGAGATGTGGGAAGTGAAGGAGTGGTGGGCAGGGTAGTGAAGGATGATAAACAGTCCTTCTTTATTACTCTTATTGAAGGAGTATAGGGTTGTTCTCCATCTATATGTCTGTCTATCCATTTAGCAATCTATCATTCACCAGTTTTATGCTGCCTTTCATTGTACTTCCACTCATTATCATCAGACTTGGCAAAAATTTTGAAAATATTTTGATGACACATTAATTGGTTTATGAATCGAATCACAAAGGCCCAGTTGATGACCATTATGTTTTCCTCTCATTACTCTTTACACAGAAGCACCATTGAGGAATTTTTCCTATGACTTGACAGAAGAGTAGAAAAGAGTAAAATGATCCTTTTCATATTAAATGGTTTTTGGATAGGATAAAAATTGAGTGTACTGTACTATGTAGATGGTGGGGAATATATATTTTATGGTAATATAGTATACAGTGTAAGTAGCTTTTGTGTAAGTTTTCTTAATTCTCACTCACTCTGACGTTGTGTGTTTATCTCCTGAGGTAGGTGTTATGGTTTAGTGCTACAGATATCTAACAGTGACTGGCAGTACAGTTTTTGTTTAGTTTGTGTACTCGTGATCTCAATTCAGATAGCTGATTGTTATGCCAGTTGATACAAATGTTTTATGTACAGTACTGTACTTGTTTTTTTTTTATACCTTTTGTTAATGTAATATTATTTCCTCTACTGCACATTCATTTAAAATTCAATCTACATCATGTTTACTTTTTAAGAGTAAGTTTTGAAGCAGTTACCCTCTCAGCCTTTCATTAATTTTTCCTGTTTTATTTATTTTATACTTTTGCATACAGATAAAGCTCTATTTACGATTTCGCAATCTACGATAATTTCTATTAACGATGCTGTTATATTAAGACCACTTCCCTATTTGCGATGTAAACAAAGTCGCATTAACGATATTCATCGTCCCACCAACTCGGCATATGGAACACATCACTTACTTCATTTGTCAGCTGAGGCATCATCTACCTGAATGACACCTTGTGGCCATCAGGTGAACTACAGTCCAGCCTTTGTTTCTCCTTGGTTACATGTGTGTAAGAATGGAGCTCAATGTTTAGCGGTCATCATCGGTGTTGTTATTTAGCATCGACTTTTTTCTTTTTACCTTACAGTGAGGAGACATCACTAAACTTCACATTGTACTTTGTTTTGGTGACAAGTGATTTTTGCTAGGTTTTTTGTGACTGAAAAGTGTTTTGCCTCTGTTGTTGTGAACACGAGGTGAGCAGAGGTAGTCCGTATCATTATTTTTTTTATTGTTTTTCCTTAAAGTTAAAAAGTTTCACAGTGTACTGTACTATACAGGTACAGTACAGTATGTGTACTCAGTTATAGTGACTGTGAGGTGATTTTGCTCTGTGAAGTGCTTCCCCTGCTTTAGTGACTGAAGTGTTTTTGCAGTGCCTGTGAAGTGCTTTTCTCTGCTTTAGTGATGCCAGGAACCTATCCTATTGAACCCCATGTTGTAATGATCCTGGTTACGATATTTTGACCTGTGACAGGGTTTTCAGAAACCCAACCCCATCGCAAATAGAGGTTTACTTGTACTTACCATTTTTGTCACTTGTAAACTTACTAGTTGTTCAAGTGACTGATCCCCTTCAAACTTTAACCATCACCAGTCTCTTGAATTTACTGTACCTTGGTGTGCACCAATGCTGGTCTAGCCTAGACTTGATAGAATTCACAATTAGGTGCTGTCACAATTTACACAAGTAGCATGTTTCTTAAATTCACTACTTGTCTCCAAAGAAGTTAGGCCTGATAGCTTCCTTAGCTGTTATTGTATCTCTCCTCACCTTTCAGTACAGTATCATATTTGTGGCATTTACCTTCATTCAGTTTGTTTAATATACCACCACCGAAAAGGATATATTGATACTAATGATATATTGTGTTGTTGGTTCATTTTATTCACAACATATGTACAGTAGTTCTCTGCCTTAACAGAAATGCTACAGGAATACAATGATTTTATCTGTGGCCTACACACACACACAATGCCATTTACATGTTAACATATTACTCACATTGGCACTGATCATAAGTCAACATCAATCTCTGCATGAAGGTTTGATTATATGAAATTTTAGTGCTGTACGTATTGTGTCATCTACTGGATTAATTTTTTCATCCAAATGATCATGGCCATATTACATACACATAAGAGCACCAATTATTCGACTCCCTCCTCATTGTACACAAATGCTGAATAAGCATTTAACAAATTAGCTCTCCTGCAAATACTGTACAGTACAGTATTTGCACTCTTTTTCACCCCCCCCCCAACGAACTCCCATTGTTGTTGCCTTAGAATAAGCATAAAGTTGCAGCTTACCTTTATAATTGTATTTTGTTAGGAAGTTATACCCAGAATGGAGAGATTTTTCCCAGAATTTATCAGAAATGCCAAAAAAAAAAAAAAGAGAATAAAAGAAGCTATTGTTCTGGGGATTGAAGATTCCAAGTACAGTACAATAATGGAGAGATTACTATATATACAGACACATTACAAATCCTGGAGTTAATTCAAGCCCAGCCAAAGCCTTTTAGATTCGTTTTACCACAGCCACTTTCTCAACTCGTGGAAATTTACCGACATACCATACTGTATAACTTATCCGTAACGAGGTACAGGTCGTTCCTTCTCAGGATTTTAGTAAAAAAACTGTCCATCGGCTAAATGAAGAAAATCTGATCTGTAATGCACAACTCACAACCTTCTGCTCCTAACTCCCAAACGTCCTTTCGGTGACTTGAGCAGAGCATCAGTTAAGTTTGTCATGGGAAATTTCATTTAGTATCTATTTTTTTCCTCCTCCCTCTCTACTCTCAACTTTCCTCTCTGTCTACCCCCACCTTTCTTCTCCTCTCTGTCTACCCCCAACTTTCCTGTCCTCTCTGTCTTCCCTCCTCTAACAGCAAGGGGGAATATACACCAGCACTACTTAGCTCTCCTTGATGCCAGCCCATACTGTTGACCATCATTAACATAGCTTGTGACTGGCTTCCTCGTATATGTCTGGTCTTCAACATTGTCCTTTTTACCTATTCTACTGTCAGGAAGGTGGTCAGGGTTCATATGATACACAATCACGTCTCGTTTGGATTACTCAGACTTATTCTACATCCTCTTCTTTTTCATGTGTTTGGTGGGTTTTCAGGAAAGTATATTTTAGAAATCCTTCCCCCACACACTTAGAAGCTTGTTCCAATATGAGGCTTTCCATGTAAATGCAGTTGACAAATTTTCATGTGTGAATTATGCGTACACTTCTCAGTACAGTATATTATTTATTTATACCCAACAGAGTGAAAATTTAGTTATAAAGTAGTATTGTATGAGCTTTGTTAGCAATGTACTGTACGTCACTGGTACAACAGTCTCGTATATCTCGTACCACTAAGAAAAGCCTAAGGATATATGTTTAATACAGATTTCCATTGTACAGTACATGTACTGTATATACTTTTCTACTTTAACTTAGGGTCTTAAGCCAGGATTTTGAGACAGATACTTTTTAGTGTTTAACTTCTGTGATTTTTATACTACTAGTATTTTGTTCTTTTATTACTTAGTCAGATAGCTTATCTTTATAACTGAATAAAAAAAAAAAAAAGAAGAAATTTGTAGTTTTACCCATCGGCCGGTCTATGGGCGAGATTTGGACCAGACCACCAGCCAACGAAAGGGTTAAAAGTAAAAAGCATAATACAGTACTGTGCTGTAGTTCTATTGACATTATTTTGGTTACCGGGAATTAAGGGGCGACTCATACGTATTTTGGTCATCAGTGTCACTGGGTTGTTTACCAGTGAAGACAGTGTCAACCAGTGCCTAAATAATGTTAGTAAAATCTATATTTTTCAGTTTTAGAGCTTAATATCTATGATGGAAGACTTGATGTGTGTACAGTGTACTGTATACTGTTTTTACCCGTATTATTCTAAAAAATCTCTCTTGTTTTAAACTCAGCTTGAACTGAACTGTATTATGAAACATTATAAATACTGTATCATATTCAACAGAAAATATTGACAATATGTTGTCTAGTATAAAGGAAGAGAATTTGAAACAAAAAATGTTGATAACAGAAATGTGTCACACTTAGAAGGTTTCTTGGTTCAGTGCTTCTAAAGATGGAACTTGAAACTAATTATTAAAAACTTTTTCATCTTATTGTGAAAAGTATACAGTATAATTATTGTTCTTATTTCTTTTAAGAGGAGCAGAACTTAAGTAGGGTATCAGTAAATTGAATTCTAACATACAGGGTATTTAAGAGTTATGAAGTACAGAAAAAGTATATTTACAATATTTCTTATTGTTCACTTTGGATTGGGTCTTGAATATGCCAAAGAAATCTACTAATGCTATAAGAGACTAAACTTTGACTGAGAACATTGTACTGTACTCTCAAAACTTTAGTGTTTCTGTGTGAAATAGCCCCTAAATGACTGCCTAGTGTCGGTGCTAGTGGAGTGAAATGTAAAAGGCAGAAGTCAGTGATGACCCTGACAAAGAAAGTTTTATTATTAGACAAGTTAAAAGATGGGACGAGTGCTGCCGCGACTGGTCAGTTGTTTGGGGAAGGTGTACCTACAGTAGTGCACTAAGGTAGTATAAGTTGCTATTTGCAATTTTGCCAATTCGCTCCATTTCTTGGAACCTATCCCTCGTGAATGGCAAGAGGGATTCCTTATTTAAGTCATCCAGGAAAATAGTTTACCATTGCATTTTCTTTTCTTATATAAATCATGTTTCACGTCTCTAAATTCTGATTACACAATCACGTCATGTAAAAAGTCTTTTATGAGAGTAAATTCTATTAACAGATTGTACAGATGAAATGTAGCAGTTGTGTTGGGTAGAGGAAGATAGTCCACATCATGGGAGGGGGAGATGGAGCAATACATTAAGAAGAGAATAGAGGATGGGGTAGGGGGAATAGAGAGGGCAAAATAAAATTACAGTACCTATAGTATAGTGAGAGACAGGGTTGGGTCAGTTAATTAATTTTTTGCCAATTAATCTATTAGTTAATTAACTTCAATTTAACTAGTTAAATTATTTAAAAGGGGCTAACTTGAAATATTGTATCTCCAAATTAATTAACTTCAATTAATTTTCTTTGCTTTCAGTTCTCATATTGATAAACAATAATTTTAACTTGGAGTGAGAGAAGGAGTTTGAAGGTGTGTCTGTATCTAGTTAAGTGGTTGGAGCTATTTTTAGATTTAATCTGTTAATTGCCATGTCTGGGAGGTCAGCCTTCACCACTTTAACTCTAGCAGGCACCCAAGGAAATTGAAGTATAGCTGTCACCCATGCATTAGTCAATCAGAACTCGGCTTAAGCATGGCAGACGCTGTACCCCAGGTCACTAGAGTTGGTGGTTAACTATGAGAATAGTTGTACATTTGTCAAAAAGCAGCCAGTTATGGTGCATTATTATTGTTTCATCTTATAGTATTAAAATATAAGAGCATATTTCCTTTATCAGAGGAGTTGATAAAATAACACACGGGGTATTAGCATGTCTTTGCTGTGAAGTTGTGAGGCACAACAATATTTACTCTCTTTCCTCTATGGTTCAGCCAGCCTTAGAATTACAAGAGAATTACATAAATTTTATCAGACATTAATACATACACACAAGCAGCTAAACATATATAACTACTGTATAGGTATATCAGTGCCCTTATTATTTATATCAAATAGTAATTCATTGGATTACTTACAAGAAAGGAATAGTTACTTGATTAACTTAATCAATTAACTTTTGGAATTAACAAATTAATTTTTAAAAATTAGATTAACTTTGTTGAAAATTTCCAAATTAACCGAGAGGCCAACCTAGAGGTACTTGTGTCATGGGTGTTCTCCCCTCAGTGAGCGTGAGGTGCTTTGGGTAAGATAAATTCACCAGATAACAATATTGAGATGGGAATAGATGATCCAGTGAGTAATTAGGAGTGGCAGTCTATGTCTGCCTAAATTTGGACCACAGCCTCCACCAAAAACTTCAACTATATAGGAGGGAAAACTTACAATCCTTGATTACTTATATTAATTAGGTCTTTCTGGATGAATGGATTTGGTCTTGCATATCCAAATCTTCATCTCTTTCAGCTTGATTTGGATACATGGACTCTTTTTTCCCTTCTCCCCTGAATGCTGCAGTTTGTTTATTGAATTGAACCTTTCCAGGATTTGTCATTTTCTTTTTTATTTGGTTTAACCTAAGCTTATTCAGGATCCTCTTTTAGCTGTATATTAGACTGTAGGAAGGATTTGATTTCATGTCCATATCCTCACTTGTATATTGTTTCACTGCAAGGTGAGGTCATTCAGTAAATCTTCTTGCTTATTTAGCTTTTTTTATTGAAGAATGTTGGTAAATCTTTTAGAGAAGAGGTTTAATATCAGACTATTTCATGGAGGTTCTTTAATATTTTGTGGTATTGGCTTGATAGTGTTTTTATTTAGGAGTTTTAATTTAAATTTCAGCCTTAGGAAGAACGTCTTTGGTGTCATTCTTCTTGAATGCTTCAGCAATTTTTTTTTTTATCCCGCCCCCCTCCCCTCCCCTCTGAGATGGGGAACATTTTGGTCATGTTCTCACATTATCACAGGGATGGCCTCAGAGTTTTACAGCTGTTTATTCTATTTTTACAATCTGTTGTTGAAGTTTTGGGACAATAATTAGACTGAACAATGGCATAAAGGAAATAAAAAAGGAAGAAACACAGTCCTTAATTCATTTAACTCGGTTTTTATAGAAAATACAGTTTGTGTTATTATGACATTATATACGAAAGAAATTAATCAATTTTCGACAATGTTGATTATCTTTAGGTAGACAGCAAGGCCCTGGCCACCATTAACAAGAAATATAGACATTGGTGAGGAGGACACACATTATAGACAGTAACAAGGCCATCCATCCCCACAAATACCCAAAGGTTAAAGCAGCCTGGACACATTGGCCATTTATAGTGATTTAGTGCACAATCTCATTCTAATCGCTATGGATCCTTAAAAACAAGTTGTTAGTTAAGGTTGCTTTAATTAGTTAATCTTATTCTTGGTAACAATTATTCCTTTTAAACTTGACAAGATTGCCTGTTGACTCCCCATGATGACCCTCAAACCACCTTTCATGGCTATTGTGGTATCTCTTTGTTTTGGCCATTATGAGCTTTTTGTGAATTTTCAGGCTAATTATCAAGGCAATGGAATAATTTTGGACAAACTCTTCTAAAGTAATTTATCCCCCATGACTTTCCAGTTATAAATATACATTAAATAGTTATGGAACTGAAAATGATAGGGTATCTTGTCACTAAAACATTATCAGTCAACAACATCTAATCTTTATTGATATCTTTTTCACACGGTGGGAAATTAAATATTCTAAATTAATATCCAATGTATGGCTATACATTAGTTATACAGCCGCTATATATCACATATCATCATCCATGCTTGTTACACCATAAATGTGTAGAGAAAATAAAATCTTATGAACATTTAGGTAACTGCACTCAACAATTTCCAAAGATTTTGGTTTAAATAAGGAAATATTTATTTAAAATAAGAAATCTCACTAATTTATCTAAAGGAAATTTTTTTTTATTTACATAATCAAACTGTAAACTAGAACTGAGCAGACTTGCAGCAAAAGCACACTGGATATTTTCCCCCAGACAATGTTTAAAATATAAAGATTTAACAGGAATGATGATTGCTAAAGAAGTACACTTGTACAGGATATACCAGAACTCCATGAAGTTTATACTTTTCAAGTCTTTTAATATACTATTAAACTTTCATGATTCTCATACACTACTAATATAGATATAACTATCTGATAATCCTCTCTACATAACCCTGGACACGATTTATATGTGAGGCAATGAGTTACTAAAAATAACAGGCATCCATAACTAAAGACAAATAAGTAGCCACAATTTCATAACTGTTTTGTGGATTCTATAGATTCCTCAACATTATATACAGTAAAGGGTCTACGAGTTTATCGAGGGTAAATTTTGATCCAGCATAAATCTGAATTTTTGCACATCTTTTTTGTTTCACTTGGGTGGGGTCCAGCATGAAAAAGTGCAAGACTGACAACAAAATTCCTTTCTAAAAAATGTAACTATTCTTTAAATGTGCTTTTCAGGTGTGGAATACAGGAGTCCACCTTGTATTCTAAATAAATCACAAAATAAAATAAGACTTCAACATTAGTCTACCATCAAACTGAGAAATAAATTCATTATCTTAACAAGCTCACTTGATCATCATAAAGCGACAACAAATATATATATTGATTAAAGTTTCCCATATCATTGGAAATTGTGTTTGTGTGCTATCACATTAAGGCATAATGACATGGAAGATCGGAGAATGGTCTTTCAAGTTGTGTCAGACAGCTCAGGTGATCACACACTACTTTAAATTAATAGTTTCATTCAGTAAAGAACAGTAATTTTGCTCTGGGTGAAGGAGAAATATCTACATTTACACTTAACTCTACCCTTCCCTCTGTAAAGTTGTTGGAAGGTCATGATCCTTTATCCCATCTGTGTGTACAGCTCATGGAAATGTTTACTCTACCTACAGAAGCATGAGGTGTCCACAACCAGTCAAAAATAATATTTGTAAATTTAAGGAGCATAAACCTGGAATTGTAAAACCAAGAATCCTCAACAGTGAACAATCATGACCTGTATTTTCCATTAAGTAATATTTTCCAATTAAAAAAATTCGGCAAAGAAACTAAAGTGAATATAAATTTTAAAAAGTCCCAACAAACACTTACACCATTTAACAACCACAATTTCATGGGTTGTATAAAAGCTAAACGAATGGAAGGTTTTCTCACGTGAAACTTTTCATTTTTTTATTTTTTTTATTATTAATTAGTGGCATCATCTAGTAGTAATTACTCTTACAACACAAACCATAAAAAGGATCCTCCGCTATTATGGTTCCTGCATTCTAAGCAGTCCGTGTATAAATGCTTGTATTAATCTGCATATTTACAAGCATGACAGCAATTCATAATAATATAAATAAATCAGGAAAATTTTCACAAAGATGTGCCTACTATATACTGTACATCCATAATAACTGACTCAACATAATTCAATAGAGGAAAGAAAGTGACTAGTCTTATGTGACTTGTTTGGGGTTGTTGCTACTTCTGTGTTCCTTACTACTACTGTAATGCTCTATGTGGCTACCCTGTATTTTCTTTTGTGTACCGTACCTGGGCAGAAAGTACCAGTGGCGCAATATGGAAAATTTTACTTAATTTTATTTATTTTTTACTAAACTCATTGATACCCTGACTACTACTTCAATTACACCAAATTTATTATCCAGTATATTCTAAGTCTTCACGTGTAATTTCAGTTACAAATACTGTATCAATCTTAGTACCACTATGAAACTGGACAGGCTCCTAAAATACTCAATGTGTGTCATAATTATACTTACTCCAACCAATGCAGTATTGCTACATAAACAAATTCTAGATTATATCGAACTGGGATTTTGTTTCTGTGTTCCATTTATTTTCAAATTATATTTACCTGGCATTCTGTTAACTGCCATTCCATAATAATGTATATATAATTATGGAAAAAAAATTTTCCACTGAGCACAAACCTTTTTCTAGAGGGAGAAAACAATTAACTACTGTATTCATATACCATTCAGTAGTATACCAATTAACTAAACTCATAGAAAATGGAGTTCTGCTTGTGAAGTTATGATGCAAATTACCAAGAATGAATATTCCTGACAGTATATAAACAAGATGGATATCTTTCAAGAATTAATTCGTAGCAACTTACAACCAAGATGGAACTGAAAATCCAAGTCTACACTGATGATCATTCTGGGATTCTTGTCACAGCTACAATTTATGTGAGCGCAACATATGGCAGAAGCACCAAATCATACACTGATGTTTTAAATATTTGATCAGAAGATGTTCTACTGAATGCAATATGAAACAAAGGTGCACAAAATGTGGAGGGACAAGATAGACTGTGATCAACCTCACACCATCCATAACTGTTGATATGCAGAACATTTATTCCATATATGGATACTTAACATCAGTAAGTGGCACCATAGTCTGCTTGATGGCTTGGGGTGAAGTCCACTTGAGGGCGTACTGCAAACCTCCGGCTTTGTCGTTGGTTCCTAAGGAAGATTTATGTGCAGTACAGTATTAGTCAACCACATGACCAAGTTATACCAATAATAAGCCACGATACTATAACAAAGAATTGTATTAAGACAATAAAGTTTGCATTTGTTTCATCTGGTGCTTGGTTTCAGTGAGGTGGCTAGTTGTCATTAGCTGATCCCTCATGTGCTTTGGTGAGAGTGGTGTATTGCATTACTGTACTGTAGAACCAGACCTGTGACCTATTATACCCCAAAATAGGTCACAGTGATTTAGGTTTCTGGGAGGTGTCTTGGTGCTACTATGTGATCACAACCAGAAAATTTGGGGGTAGTGTATTTCATTAATGAAATATATCCTACAATTTAATAAGATGATAACTGCATTTCATGCAAGTGAGGTAAAAAATCTCTCTCTCTCTGCCTATCAACACTTGCTATAGCACAGATCCATAAAGGGTTAAAAAAAAATTTGAAATCATCTGTCAGAGGTTGTAAATTCGTTAATGTAAAAATAAATACTGTACAGTAATTTCTCTGTTAGCCGGAATCCCTCAAACCCGGAACTCTCCGGTAGCCGAAATTGAAATTTTCTTGGAAAATCGTTCCCAACGCTGGAATCTTCCGGAAAATTGTGGCTTTGGGAACGATTTTCCGAGGAGCACATTTTCTGGAAAATTCTGATAAAATTTTCCCGATACCTGGAAAATTCCGGGGATGGGGGAGTTTTTCCAGGTTTGAGAGATGATGTAATGGGCAATTTTTGGAACTTCCAAGAAAATTTTACCATTACCCGGAGAATTCCGGGCATGGGTGTTTTTTCCGGCTTTGAGAGTCGTCCCATTACCCGGTAATCTCTCATTACCGGAAGTGCTCTGCACCAATTGTTCCGGCTATCGGGGATATCACTCGGCCATCACCACGAAACAACTCACGACACATGTCTAGCAAAGTGCCTCAAAAGAACACAAGACAAAAATTTTGAATGACTCATTCTGACTACAAATAGTGGAGTCTAAACAATGCTTTACCACACTCAAGACATCAAGTAACTCCACATCACATAAATATTAGAAAAAATATTTAAAAATCTGCCATCATTAACTTGAACCCCAGATTTTGTAGGAGCTGTTGTCCCACACCAATACGGCACTGACCATTTATATGAGCTAACTAAGCTTCATCACACATGTCAGTAATGTCTAAAATCTGCTTTTATCTGCTAATTTTGTTGACCTAACCTTGCATCATTTATGATTATGTTCTGATGGATGTGTGACAAAATATCAAACTGTCAGAGACCTGATCATCATGGTCCCCAGAGAAACAAGAACATTTATATGTATAGTACAGTACGTACTGCTATATTTACATAAAACAAAACACATTGGTCACTGAACAAAACATATATTTTTATATACAATATAAATAATAGTTCAAAATACATTGACGGTATAATAACTTTTACCTCATCATTGGTTGTAATATACATTGGTCCCTCGGTTAACCAACAGAATTCGTTCTACAGTCATTCGTTAACCGGATCTATTATTTCAATGGGATATTGGGTAATTGGTTCCAACTCACAGAAAAAGTATACTTGTACATACAAAGTACTGTACAGTATACTGTTAATAGAATTAACAAAACATTAAATATAAACTAAATACAGTACTGTTCAATAATAAATAAAAAACAATAGAATACTATATTTTAGCTTGCTTTGAGGTGTGTATGCCGTATTCCCGGCAGCTTTGTTTACATATCAAACAGCTGATTGTAGTGGCAGTCGATGATGACATGCCATACAGTAGTACCCCGATTTACGCGGTCAATTGAACCCACAGGGTACCGCGGAAAGTGAACAACAGACATATGGGATTAATTCCAATAGAGACTGGCCCGACCCCCAAACTCCACTTTTTCCGACACAATACCTATGTTGTAGTAAAAATAACATCTAAATTTTATGATGGTATGCTCACACAATTAATATTTAAGAGAAATACAGTCGCCAGGTTAATGTCCATTCAAATAATGGACTCAAATCCCCCCCCCTCTTCCCAGCTCACTAGCTCCTACCTCTCTGATTAATGTTTGGGTGAAAACTCTAGATTTTAACGTTTAGTAATAAATAATACCTCAGACTAAAGTTAGGATAATATAATTGACATTTCTGGATTCCTTGCAGGTCAGGGAATATTTTGAATGTAAACTTCATATATTTTGCACAAAGGATAAAATATTTGCTTTGTGTAAACCAAATTATTACATTTAGATCTAAAATTTGTATGTCTAATGCAAAATCCATGATGTTTATATTCAAAATGATCATCATATTGTAAGAATTCCAGCAATGTAAATTATATTTTGGCCGGGTAATTTGTATGAATTTTATGAGCTAAATAAATAAAAAAAAAAATTATATGAGTAGATGCACCGAGGAAAGTGAAAGTCTGGTTCTGGCAAGGTACCGAGTAAATGAGAATCGCGGAAAACGAAACCGTGTAAAGCGGGGTAATACTGTATTCTTTACAGAGTGCATTGGTTCTAATACCTTCTTTGTGTTTCATAATAATTTCTGCACTGTATATATTATCAATATGTTAACTAAATTTCAGAATGACCAATAATTTTAATGTAAAAATGCAAAAATATTAAAGAGACCAACAAACTGGATGTTCACTCCACTGTAAAATGCAGAAATATTCAAGAGCACAACTTTCTTGACATTTACTCCACTGGAAACGAATGTAAACATAGAACTGATTATTGTATTGGAGGACTGGCCGATCAGCTGATGCGCACAATAAAATGTGTTTGTCATAAGGATTTCGTTAATCAAAGTTTTGTTTGTTAATCAAATTGAAAATCCTTATGGGAGCTAATTCGTTAATCGAACCGTTCGTTAACCGAGGGGACCACTGTATATATATATATATTCTTCCAACATATTTAACACAAGTACTGTATACCTTTTATTCTTAGATATAGTATACAGACTGACCCATAACTCCCAAACAAGGAAGATAAAATATTTGAAAAATTCAGCCAAGATTATTACAGTATATTAAAGAAGAAATTTTGCCGAGGTGCTTGTATTTTGTACTATGAATAATAAATGAATGTATAATTCTAAAACCATGACGATTCCCCCTTAATTATAACCAGTTGGGACTTAAGGGCCAATCTGTACAATGTCCATCAAGTACACACAACCTCAACATCAGTTCAATACCATCTTGACATCATTGCCAAAACACTCCAGTACTTACCTGACATACGAGCTCCTCCGAAGGGTTGTTGTGCTACTACAGATCCAGTTGATTTATCATTTATGTAGAAGTTACCTGCAGAATCCTTCAGTTCATCTGCTGCTTTTTCCAACCATGATCTGTTAGTGAGGAAGATAATACAGTAGTAGTTTATTTCTATCTACATAAAATATAGTTCAAGGAAATACAAATACAGTAGAGTACAGTACATGATTTACATAGACAATTAAATGTATTTTTTACATTAAATTTGAAAAGTATTCAACACATTTTTATTTTGCCAAAGACAACTTTATAAATGTATCATTTCAAGACCTAATTTTGATTTGCATATCAATTAAACAAAAAATCCTACTGATCTAATTGCATTTCTTTGTCTACAACCAGATGCACAGTAGTTGTCACCACACTTGTACAAACTGCAAGATGAACTTATGGTGTTTTCTTAGTGTCTATCATCATTACTGGTGATGGCAACATTAAGTTTTATTCGTATGCGAGTTTCATTGTCTTTGAGCTCTTTGTTTTGTTTGGTAATATCCACCTCATACTAGACTACCCACCTAATACCTCTCACTACACTACAAATATTACCACAATTTAGACAGTACTTACTGATCTTGTCCAAATATAGCTCCAGTTAGGGCGTAGGGGGTAGACGTGTTGGCAAGCTTTACCATGTCATCAACTTGATTATCGGGATAAACATAAACAGAAAGGACAGGGCCAAAGATCTCTTCAGTCATGATGCGGTCAAGGGGGTCCTTTGTCTGTACAATTGTCGGCTCTATGAAGTAACCATAACTGAAAAAAATCAAATAAATAAAATAAAAAATAAACTGGCGTTGGATATCAATAAAGTTCAAGTAGTTAAATCACATTGTATTACTTAGGTGATGTTAGAGAATACTGACATACAGTACAGGTATCCCTCGTTTAACGGTGAGGTTGCGTTCCTGAAAATTATCCCTAAATGAGGGATAACGGAAAAAAGCACGGAGGGCAAACAATAGGTTCAAACTGCAAGGCGGTAAACACTGAGAGCAGGGCTGTACTCCCTAATAATAATAGACAAGTTTGTTATAAACCATTTTGAAGTTGAACGACTGATTTATTAACACAAAACTTCTATATTAATGATGTGTTTCAGAGTTGAAAGGTTTATTGAGCACAAGGTAAGCCTAAGCTTGGCGGTTAAATGGTCTGGTACCTTTAGTACATAACTAAAAATGACCATAAGAGAAAGGAATTAAAATTATAAATGCTTTATCAGGGTGGTTTTAGCAGTTAAATTATAATTAGTGGATAAGTTGATAATTAATTCATGCTTATTATATTGTGAAGAATACATGCATTAAACGTTATAAGAAATACCCCAGTATGTGTCTTATACATGCACTACAATGAATGAGGGTTTATTTCCTCAACTCTTGACAGGTCTTTCCACTATGGTGTAGGGTGGCCATAACTGAAACCAGCACAGGCTCGGTCTTCACTTGCTGTCATTAATTAATTTTTTTTATCCATTTGTGATTTACTCCTGTTAATTTCATAAATCACTGAAGCTCACTTCTATCCCCCCAAAAAATCACCTGATGCCATCCATACTTCATGTTCATGCCCACCCACTGTTGCTTCCTGGATCCCTCACCCCTTCCTCCTCATCTAGTGCCTCTTACACCTCATCTTTTCACCTCCCTGTTTGTTTTTCCTCTCCTACCATCTACTTGATTTTTTTTTATATCAATCTTTTACATCCTGTTCTCTCACTGTGTCCATCCATCACAAAAAATTGAATGGCTCTTGGTGCACAATTCCTCTTACTTCGACAAAGTCTACAAAATCTTAAAAATACCGATAAAAATACTTGTAATAAACACATGAACTTAAGCATCAACTCACCTGTCATCACATTTTCCACCAGTAATAATGGAAAGGTTTGGAGAGGACTTGGCATGTTCTATGTAACTACTGATGCGTTGAAAGGCTTTTGCATCAATCACAGCTGACATGAAGGAGTCAAATTCTCTAACATCACCAACCTTCAGCTCTTTGTGGACTGCCAAAATTTTTTCTTTAATCTGGAAAAAAATAAATAAATAAATAAGTAAACATTAATTTTAATAAAGAACTCACTAGTTTTACATTAAAAAGCACATAATTTAGAAGTAATATAGCCTTACCTCTGGCCACAACGATTCAGGAATGTAGGCACGTGAACAAGCCGAGCACTTCTGTCCACAATATTCAAAGGCTGAGCGTATAGTGCCATTAACAACTGAGGTAACATCAGCAGTTGGATGCACCAAGTGGTAATTCTTACCACCACATTCTCCCACTAGGCGAGGGAAGCTCTTGTATTTTGACAAGTTCTGTCCCACTTGACTCCACAGTCGCTGGAAGGTTCTGTATGAACAAGTTACAATAGTGACCTATCACTTACACTGGAATTACAGCAATTTCTCATATTATTCAAACTTTATTTCCATTATATATATATACCTGTAGTTAATAATGAATGAATGAGACCATACAGTCAGGGCTATGGACACTGCAAAAAGTATTTTCATCTACCGGTACACATTACCAGCCAGGACATCCATCTTTACATACAAACAACCACAGAGAATTTAACACACAATGTCTACTCAGATTTAAAACATAATGCAATCTTTCACTTCTTTACTTGTCCTGGCACACGATGAGCTTTCTCTACTGACACCTCTCACTGCATGAAACAACTTCCTTACTTCATACATTGTTAACACCTGGAAACTATGCTTCTACAACCGATATATTTTTTTCAAAGGCCCCAAAAATGGCACATACAATACTGTACAGTATATATGCAACCCACAGTACAGTACTTCAAGTTTCACAGCACTTGCCCACTGTCTGCACAAAGATTAGTCGACACATGCATTCACTTCATAATTGTAATCAGATACTTTAAGTTACTACAGTACTCATATTTTGTCCCCATATTTCAAAACTTTACATTCCCTTTAAATCCATAATCAATTCTATTCCCACTCCATGCAGGTGGATACAGTATAGTAATTGGCGTGTGTGTGTGTCTGTCTGTAACCATGATTTGTCAGGTATCAAAAGTAGCCAGCCTGTAATCATTATTGTGTGAAATCAACTTCTCCAGAAATTTTCAGTGGACTATCACACCACTTGAATATTATTATGGATAGGTGATGGTTCCACTCTAATGATTTTTTGTGGTGTTACAGCACTTTGTTGTCTAATAATCCACAATCGGGGGGATATGTTCCTACTACTTATTCTCATTAATACTTTATTCTTTGCATAAAAGGTATTAACAATGCAATCATTGGATCTATTTACTGTAGTTGTCTACCATCATTCCAAGCTCTTACATACACTACAGAAGAGTTTTGTCTTACCAAACTCTCTCCCTCATTATCTATCCAATTACTTGGTCCACATCTGAAATAATATATACCAACAGCCAAAACACAATTTCTCCCCCTCTCAATACACCACAGATATCTTAGTTTCAATGTCACGAGAAACATTTCAGGAATGTCAACTACATCTGTAATATTATTTATACAGTATCTTTAAAATGTTGTTCCATCTCCCAACACAAGTTTTCTTGCTCAAATAACAACTGAACACTCACAGCTTACATTTATCCTTATGGACTACAGTATTTTTATTTTAGAATTGATCAAATGCAGCAGCTAAATTGAACTTGGGCAACAGTACAAACTCCCACCAGATGCTGCCTTTGTCAGAGTTGTGACCCTCGCCTTGACCCCAAACACAATGCAATTTGAGATTTGTTATGGTAAATATACTACAGTATAGTCTGGATTTACGCGGATTTTGTTTACGCGTTTGGTCATTTACGCGGTGCCTTGCCAGAATTAAATGTTTTAATTACGCAGTAAATTTCATAATTTATGCGGGAAGCAGCGCGGGCAGGGTGCGCACAAGGTCGCCCAGTCATCGAAACATTACCGAGTTCTTCACCCGCCATCCACCACAGCCGGCTCAAGTCAGTGATAGAGAGGATATGGACTTTGAGGGGTTTGACAAAGAGGTCCTGCAAGCCTCTGTGGTGGATAGTGATACAGGTGAGGGCCAATAATCTGCCCTCTGCCTCGGAACCAACCCCCCCCCCCATCCCCGTGTGCCCAGCCATCTTTTCTACTAACGTAAGTGTTAAAAAACCTAATGTTATTGATATTTCTCTTAAATATTAATTGTGTGTGCAAACCATCATAAAATTAAGATGTTATTTTTACTACAACGTACGTATTGTGTCGGAAAAAGTGTAGTTTGGGGGTCGGCCCAGTCTCTATTTCAATTAATCCCATATGTTCTGTTATTTTGTTTATGCGTTTCTCGTTTTACGCGGACCTCCACAGGTTCAATTGACCGCGTAAATGCAGACTATACTGTATATCCCAATTCCCAACTATGAACATTTACTATTTCTGTTTTTGAGTTATGTAGCTGAAATAAGATAAACAAAGAAAAAGGTAGCAATAATTCCCCTATTCATATATCCCTAGTAGCATAAATACTGTAGTATTACTTAAACAATAATAAACTTGTACTGTTAATGCAACACAGGTAATACAATTATTTTCCTCACAAAGAAAAGATATGTTGTTAGAGAAACTAATGATATTAGATTCATTATATTGTATGCAAGGTTTAATGTTACAGAGCAGCATCACAAGTCATATTTCTATCCATCTTTACTAATCTCATACATAAGAGGTGGGTGGATGAAGGGTTGCAGACACCTGAGAGAGGAAAAATGACTGGGGAAGTGGTGCAAGACAAATGTAGAAAGTGACGGAAAAGAGCTGACACAAGAAATTCAAATGCTAACATCATACTTCCACATATTCTTCACTTGCATACATGTTATATAGAGTGCATCATTGGTCTCTAAACTGATTCACAACACTTCATACTACATTCCCACATAATGATAAAGTCAAGGACACACTTACGGGACAGATCCAGTGAAGTTAAGGGCTGCCAAGTTAGGAGATTTTGTAATTGTGTCTCCAAAGACTGGACCATCGGCAGGGACAAAGCTCACAGCACCGCCTGGAACACCGGCCTCCCGCATGATCTTGTACACTGTGTAGTTGCTCAGTATAGCAGTGTCAGAAGGCTTCCAAAGAACAACATTACCCTGGATGATAGGAACAGTGAAGCCAACTGTTTTATCCATTTCTGACAATTATCAAAACATTCCTCCACTTATAATTGTTCAACACATTACTGTTTCTTTGACCAAAACATTAAAATAAGTAAATAAAGACTGTACGGTATAATAAATCAAATTTAATAATTATCATATGGTCAAAAACAAAAAGGAATAAAATTTCATGCTGAGGAGGGGAGGGGGGGGGGGGATCTCAGCTGTTCTGAGCTGTCTCCCATGTGTAGTGAAACTATTGACAAATTTTGTCGTCTAGCAGCCAAATGGGAATAGAGTCTATTTTATTTATTAGTACCTGTACAGTACAGTAAATATTTTTATTTATTCCTTTCATTTACTATCTATTATTTTCTTATTCGTAATAGGAAATGGTAACTGACGGAAATTCAGTTTCAGAGTTGGTAACACTGTTCATAACTTCAGCTGTTGTGGTGATGGTCACAGCCAAGACATGTTGGTTTGAATTTGATGTCTTGCTACAAATTATGTCGGATAATGCCAAGTATTTCTCTAAAGCTAGGGTCGAAGTATAGAAGAGATACTGTATATGAAAAACTGAATTTTTTTGTATTAAAAAAAAAAATCGTAGGTCGAACAATGTACACTACAATATAATTATGACATCAGTTTATACAGAAGTGTACAGTACATACTTCTCTTTAACAAGGTTCACATTAACGATTCAACACAATAACGACAGTAATGAAATGCGACACCTCAACACATTAACGATACATTTTAACACAATAACAATCAGTAGCCCAAGTTGATAGTAACTCTGGGCGGCCATCTTGACGATGCCAAAGAGCGGGGTTGTTTGTTTTGATCAGAGCGTGTGAACAGGTGTGGCGTAACCTACTCGCTTATCTGTGACCGTGTTGTATAACCTCTCTACCTGTGGTAGCAGTTCAACAAGTGTCTAAGGGTTAGTTATTATTAGTTATTAACTCTACATGCAGTATTAATGTGTGTGAATAAGTGGTTGTAATTTTTGCGGTGTTTATCGGGGGTGGAAGTGTCTGAGGGCTGGTGCCAACTGATCCATTCAGCATGTCAACTATACTCACCACATTAACGATTTTCACTTTAACGACCGTTTTCGTGGTACCAATTAGTTTTTAAAGTGAAGTATGGACTGTATACTGTACAGTGAACATAATTTTTTTTCTGTACTGTACTTTGTTACATGCACACACAATCCTACATACAGAATTTGAAAAAAAATTAATAATAATAATAATTAACATAAAGTATAAAGTTTTAAGTATAAACAGGTTTCAACCGTGAAGCCATGTGGCGACCTTGTGGATGTTGGAGGGTGTGAGGTGCAAAGCATCATTACTAGGGAAGCCACTGTGTTGCTAAGGTGAGTGTCGAGGCAGTTAGTGTCCCAGAGAACTGAGACTCAGTGTGTACACTGACTTAAAATTTTGAAATACTACCTGGTATTTCAGTTCCACTTTAGTTCAAAATAATTATTGACAATTGGTTTTAACGGATTTTCGGCTATAGCAACAATGGTCTTCCCCCCAATTAGTCCGTTACCCCAGGGGTTTACTGTACAGATCCCCGACTTACGAACACCCTCCAATACGAACGTGGTTAAACTTGAAATTTACAGTATTACCAGATGACTTACTTTTTACTTTCGTTTACTGTATTTTGTCGTTCTATTTCTTATTTTATCTTAAATTAAGTGATTTTAGATTTATATAAGGACTTAGGCTATGATAGTGGGATTTTAAACATTGTTCTGTAAGTTCGGTATGCACATAACATGTGTTCCGACTTGCGTACAATCCCACTTAAGAAAGTCCTCAGGAACGGAACCCGTTCATAACCCGGGAACCAGGGGCATCATTTGAAAGGGGGGGGGGGGGCCACTCGCCCCCCACATGACCTGGTTTGCCTCTCCCAAGGACTGTCTTGCTCTCCAAGCAAAAATTGTAATTACAGTACAGTATATTCCTTTTTCATATAGACGAATTTAGATTTTGTGAGAACATCTCGATGATCGTATTTTTACTATGTATAATTAAACAAAATAATAAGTATTCATCTATTTTCATCGTTCCCATTGCCTATCATTTATATACTGAATAGCAGCAAGGAAATAAGTCATATTGCTAGCAGCCACACGGTCCACACCGGGTGGATGCAAATTAAAAACTAAAATGTGTTGGAACGTGTTCCGTCTGTTACAGCACCACCCGGCGGCACAATGGACAATGGTGTTCCCCAGCAAAATCTGAAATGACGCCCCTACCGGGGACACCCTTCATATTGATACTGTATTAATGATTTAGGTTGTCATATAATATTTAAATCCAGATAAAAGTACAGTATGCATATTTATTCAATGTGGTGTGTAATGGTATAAGAGGGACCATATGTCAGAAACAGTTAGTAAAAAGGGTCATTTCTGAACAAATATGAAAGGGAAGGAAAAATTTGTGTATCATATTTGTATTAAAAAATTGTAGGTAAATACTGTATGAGGAGTGCATATACAGTACTGTAAAAGCTTGTGGGTAAGTTGAAAAGAAAGGTGTGTGGGTAAACATAGCAAGTACTGTACATATTAAAGCAACATGAAGTATGTGGGCAGAGATGAAAAGTACAAATAGAAGTAAATTACCATCATTGCAGGAGTGTAGGCTAAGTTACCTCCAATGGCAGTGAAATTAAAGGGTGACACTGCTGCTATAAAGCCTTCCATGCCACGCAGTCTCAGCTTGTTGACTGTTACATTAGGTGCTGGGCTTATTGGCTGCCATTTGGTTCCTTCTTTGGCATATAGAGCATTAAATCTGAAAAAAACAAAACAATTACAACATTGAAAAATAATAATCTAGTGATAAAATTTTCATTCTGTAATGTGTTCTTTGTAATAATACATAATTAATCTACTAATTTTCACTATCAATTTAAAACAATTTTATTCTATATCTACCAATCTACCAATTTATTTAGAGTTTTAATAAAATACAGGTATATCTAATGGAAGTAATCTGTTGTAAGTATTTTGTTTTGTAAAGGATACTGTACATTTTAGCGACCCTTCACCTACAAATCTAGGCCAAGGTCACTCAAAAGCAAACTCAAGATTTGGAACAATCACAATTCAACTTAACAAATATACATCATCATTTGTCAACCTTCTCAATCTCACATATTCTAGTTGACAGTTTGCCGTCTATAGTTTGTATTAAAAAAATAATACAAACTGTTAGATGTAATAGTACATCACAGATCCTATGTGCCTGGGAGACAATAATACTTCTTATATCTCACTTACAATGGTACTGTACTCACCTTAGGAAGTCAATAAGTTCAGCTGCAGCATCAATCTCAGCTTGAATAATGGTCTTACTCTGACCCAACATGGTGGTTGCATTAAGGTCTTGTCGATATTTGCCTGCCATCAGATCTGCTGCCTGACATTAAACAATACTTTGGTTAAAACACAAAATTGCACCACAAGAGGAACTATAGAACAAAGTAATTAAATTGTTACCTAATTTACAATATATATCCAATACGTTCTGGCTAAAAAGATAATGGTCAATAAAAAAACCTCTCCTCATTGCTATAGTAACTGCAAATTAGGCCAAACTGTCCATACTCCCAACCACCCCTCTTGCACCTGCTAAAATTTTGCCTCGTGCATGAAGCTCTTAACACAGTACTTCTAGTTTTTACAGTCTTTATGTACAGGGATGATGGTAAAGCTTTATGGTACAGAGTTGGCAGCTGAAAGGTCTTACACATGTATATAAATATTATCTTTTCCACTTTGAAGGGACAGTGTTGGGCTGCAGGCATTAGAAATATCCATTATAGCAAGATTGTCACCCTTCAAGTGGCATCCCCTCTATGTAAGAAAGGCTGCCTTGATACAGCTTTCCCCCATGTAAGAAAGGCTGCCTTGATGCAATATCCCCCATGTAAGAAAGGCTGCCTTGATACAGCTTTCCCCCATGTAAGAAAGGCTGCTTTGATGCAATATCCCCCATGTAAGAAAGGCTGCCTTGATACAACATCCCCCTATGTAAGAACGGCTGCCTTGATACAGGACCTTTATGTAACAAGAATGACTACCGGTAACTCTGTGCTTAACAGTATATATTGCCCCTCCAGCCCTGCATGGTAGCAAAATAGTGTATTCTATAATATTCTATACAATAACATCCTCAAAGGGAGGTGTCTGAAGTCTTTAAAAATAAAATAAAAATAAATAAAATAAAAATAATAATAATAATAATAATAATAATAATAATAATAATAATAATAATAATCGTTGCAATATATACACACATCAACACCATGCATCGTATAGGGGTCTCACTCATTGAATGCTGTGTTACACTAAAGTGAAGCCTTTCCCCACTTACTGCTGGGCGGCCAGAATTAAGCGCAAACACATCTTTTCCTTCATAAATTGTCATTTGTTCACTCTTACCAATGTAACAGATGTGTTTTCCACAATAAATTAAAAAATCTGGCTTACCCCTGTCACTTCATGTAAGCCAAGTAGTGTACCACCCATCAGCAGCATCTTCCCCAAAATCACTCGCCACCATACTTCCTGTTCATTCATGTAAACTTCTGCATCCTTCACCCCATCCATCCCTCTCCCCCCTTCACCCCATCTCCCCTCTTGCTCTTCCCTCCTACAATCCACCCTTGAATTATGCAATCTTTTTACCAAAGTTATATATATATTTTTTCGATTAGTCCATATAAACAATAAATCCTGGCTTGTTTGCTGCCCAACACTCCTTTCACTCCTCCATCTCTGTATTTCATATCTGCATCCTGTTTTATGCTACAAATTGCTCTGATGTATGTAATCTCTTGTTACTTTTAATGTGCTCCTTCCTCTTACAGACAGAGTTCATACTACACAACCATGTAAAGACATTCATTCATCAAGATTCAACTTGTACATCCCCACCTTTCATTCTTTTAGCATGGCTCTCTCTCTCTCTCTCTCCTTATTTTTGCAATCCACTTATTACGTTCTTTCATCTGTGGTTCACTTCATCACTACAGGTATATGGTTCCACTTGCTAACATATCCACTTCCAGATATCTGACATGCTCCCTTATCTACATATTTCCATCACTACTCTTGTTCACATTCAAGATCAATTGTCTCCTAGTTCAGTATACAATCTTCCAAACTCATTTTCTAATGTTTGTAATTTTTCATTTCAACATTTATTTATTCATCAAACTTGCACCTCTCACCTATCTTACTACATCATCCAAGGAAATATTAAATAACCATGAAGAAAATACACTATAGAAATGCTTAACTGTTTCAGGGGAGAAAAATGACCTTGTTCAGAAAATTGGAAATTCATAATTCCAGAATTGCTCTTGGTCCAACAGTGATGAATTTATAATATTGGTTTACCGTATATGAAATTGATGGGCAGTGGCAATATGAGAAGTATTTTATTTAATGTATAATTAGCATCCTACGTATACTGTAATGAGGTAATTAGGAACTGCCTGCAAACTAAATTCTAAATGTGGGATATAAATGAATATAACTTCTACAGAATATCTAAAAGATCAAAACAGGACTAACTCTTTAATTTATATGGACTTAATAATAGTGTCTGACTACAGTACTATACAGTATTCTGAAAACTACAGTACTGTACAGATGGGAACTAATAAATACCAGTCCCTAATAAATAAATAGCCATGCAATTTCACCTTAAGCCACATGTCAAACTTTTCACGGAGGGGAACTTTCTCCCAGCTGACACGGGCAGCCATTGCTGTGTCAATAGCTTTTTGTACGAGTTCTGAATTGGCGTAGTAGAACTTGGCCAACCTGAGGAATAACAGGTCAATTAGAATACTGTACTGTATATGCGCAAGTGCAATACAGTACTCGATTTCAATATTCTCTGCAAATATCTTGCATTCAAATCCATTGACCTCTTTTCTTGATATTAAACAAAAATTTTAATTGAATAAAGCTCTTGGAGAATGTTAATCTCGAATAAAACAGTCTATATCTCATCTATCTGTATCTATAAACTTGTCAGAATGTACTTACTAATACAGTACTGTGCATTATGTAGGTCATACTTTGAATATTTATATGTTGTTTTGAAAAGTAAACTTTGGTCTAAAATTACCAATAGATGGCTCTGGGAGCAATATAGCCTTCATTGTTGAAGACCTTTCCCAAATTCAGTGAATACAACAAACTTCTCCTGCATCTTAAGCTTTTCCCAAACAAGACAATGAAAAATAACAGTTTTCTCCTAACTTATGTTATCATTAAGGTTTAAATACAATTAGTTCTGCTGTGGCTTCATCATTAAGATGACTTTAATTTACAATACTGTATGTTTACTTTAATGCTTCTTGTTGGGTATAATCCAGGCACGATAGTTCAGCTGGCAATAGTATCGAGTCCCAACCATTAAGACTGAAGTTTAAATCCCAGAACCAAGTCAAAATGGGAGAATAAGTATGCATCAATACCATAGGAAAGAAGTTGCGACATTTTGGTATATTCCAGGCATAATAAAATGAGTACTGGAAGACTATTCGCCTAATTGTGAGCACTGTGCATTATGTCCTCTAACTCAAAGGTGCTGACATGTTACAAGTCCACTAATGCAGTTTATGCTTACATCATTAAGAAAATTAACAATCTACGTTGCTTTCATTCTTATCCTGATATTGTCTTTTTTAGCAGTAACTTTATACAGGTGTACCCTGAAAACCAACGTCCTGTAACCGCCGCTTTGCATAACTGACAATTGCATATAGGGGAAATACCCAAAAGTTTCGTTGACACCCCAGATATCCAACGATTGGGAGAGGAGTAGCAGAGTTGTTTTGAATTTGGCAGGCGGTGGCGTGGTGTGAGTTCTTGCCACCACAGGGCTCTGCGCACTGCCCTGACTCATTTCCGCCATCTTTGCTCTTGTTTACACTTTCTGTACTACCTGTATGTGTTTCTGACTTCATGTTTTCTCGTTATTTCCGACTTATTGTGTTACTCAATCATGTCTAAATGCCCCAGTGATAGTTCCTCTTGTGCTGGGCAGCTTGATGTGATGTGATTAGGCGTAATAAGGCATAATAAGAGTGGCGATTGTCCAGCAATGAGTGGTAGAGACTTGAACTTGCCACCGTATACCATCTCTACCATCCTCAACACAGGTAAATAACAGTCTCAATTTATGCTTTACATTGCTTATTCAATGCTTATTATGCTTGCTTTATATTCTTGCTTGACAGTTTGCATGACAGATACTGTATATCAAGGGTAGATGGGAGTTTTTGGAGGTAGCCAGTCTGTAACCCCCTGAATGTGTTATGTTCTTATGGGATTATATTTGCTTCGATAACCACCGAATCACTATCCAACGACTTTTCCCAGTCCCTATATGCATCGGTTATCGGGGTACACCTGTATACTGACATTACTGAAATCATGCATAATTAAATTCTTATTAGAGGACATTACTGCTTCTATAAAAATCAGATTATTAAAAACAACGACTGTACCATCTACCAGTACTGTACAGTATTATACTTACTTGTGAGAGTGCTTGTGGGGCATCACCTGGTGCTGGACAAGGTCTGTACGGTACTCTTTGTCCCCAATCATGATAGGCACATCTACTACCTGTGACTCATGTTTAGCAATGGCAGCCTCCAGTTCAGCTCGTTCTGGGCTGCCTGGCAGGTAATCTAGACAATGAGAGAGATGGAAATGAATACAGTATTCAAAATACAGGTGTCATGACAGATCATCTATAAAAATAAAGTGTTTTTCAACCTGCCATTACTATTATAATCCATGGATATGGTAAACCAGGATTATTAAAGCACCCCTTATTGTATTCCTAGGTGACTACTCAAGATACCATCATTGGCTGTTATTGCTACACTAGAATTTAAACATACAGGTTATGTGTTTGAACAGTAGCGGAGTGCTTCAAGCCAGTAACTACTGTATATCTTTAGTAATTGTCCAGGGATATGATAGGTGGTGCTTAAGTGTCACTGGTTTATCTGTGAGATATACAGGTAGGATTAAGGTTGGGGAACCTAGCGGGTCTTAAGCTTTAAAAGGACGGTGCCGTATCCAGGATCTTTTATTGGCGGGGATAAATAAGGTCTTCTCAGTTTGGTTAAATGTTTTATGCACTGACTTAAAGATTTTTTTTTCTTTGAAGAAATGATAGGAAAGTATAGTAGACCCTTGGCATCCGCAGGTTTGCGATTTGCAATTTTGATGATTCGCGGAAAATAGATGGTGGCTAGCTTGCGAGCCTTTTCCCGCAGCACATTGAGTCACCCAACGCAGCAACTCGTGTTGTACTCTCAAAACTTTAGTGTTTCTGTGTAATAATGCCCCCCTAAAAGACTGCCTAGTGTCTGTGCTAGTGGAGTGAAATGTAAAATGCAGAAGTCAGTGATGACCCTGACAAACAAAGTTGAATTACTAGATAAGTTAAAAGTTGTTGCCTATGGCTATATGCCGACATATTTTTATTGCATAATTTGTAATATTTATGTAGCTATGCATGATTGTTCTACCCCCCCCCCCTTCATTTAGAGGGCTCTTCTGTTTATATAGGAAAAGCTGTAAAAAGGTATTTATAATAATATTTTGGTGTAAAGTAATACCAATTACAGTACTTGGTAAAAATCAGTGTCTGGTACCTTTCTCAGCTAGCTAACCATGGGAGACCGTTGTCACGAGAGTCGGTGACCATCAAACATGTGAGAGTGAAGTACGATTGCGAGTTGCTCTCGCGTCACCTTTATCGGCCAGTATCTCGGAACGAGTTTTTCTAACCGTCAAATCCCCAAGGCTCTGCCACTTATGGGCCGATTCTAATAAAACAAAAACTAATTACTGTAGTAGAATAACGTACTATGCATGGCGTAATATATATAGATTTTCTTTATAATTGACTTGGTTTATTATTTGCTGATTTAACTTTATAAATATTGAGAGGAATAAATGGAAAGTTAGGGAAAAATTCATTTACCCAATATCGAAAGCGATAATCAGAAATATCTATGTTACGCTTAAGAAGAGTAGATTACCTACAATATATTCCACATGAAATTCAACATAATTTAGCAAAAAGTTAAGGAGAAGTAGGATTTTGAAAATTGATAAGAATATAAGGGAAAAATCAGATATTAGGTAGAACTGATTCATGAGTAAAGTAACAATGTATCTGGTGTCCTTAATTGCTGACAGGAAATTGATATCGATTGATCAATTATTAACGTATTTCGTGCTTCAGCCGGACGCTACCCTTAAGGAATTTATAAGATACAAGATAAAATGGTTTTCTGGTCAGTAACAGTGTGTGTCTCAGTAAAATACACTACTGTTCAATGTTTCATTACATACAGTGTTTCACCTGCATACATAAAAACTATCTACATATTATCTAAATTGGGTGAACATTTCCGTAAAACTTAAGAAGGAAGACAAAGATTAAATTAGTAGTTCAAACAGATATTTTCTTTGGTATATGTATACTTATACTATGTAACCAAAAAAAAAAAAAGCACACAAGAAAGCAAACACTTGAATAAAAACCTGTTAAGACGTTCTCAAGTCATAAGGACTGCCAAGGTCAAACTACTGTACTGTATTTGTGCCTCACTGCTGCCACCATAGCAACAATATAAAACAAAATTCTAAGAGAAAACACCTAAGTTAGATATACACCATAGAAGGGGTTAATTCCTACATCAAGGGATAATTTCAGCACCTGTTCAGCATTTTTATTCACTCGAGAGTAAAAAAAAATTAAATACCTGTATAAAAAAAAAAATGATTTGAAAACAAATACATCCCTGTACTGTACTGGCTGAAAGGTTGGCTTCTAGTTATAATTAAGACACTGGTATGGAAAATGTATTGTGTAATAAATAAAAAAAATATATACCCTGTACAGGCATATACGAGTATAATATACGGTACTCGTGTACGTATACTGTACTACTTTTTTATTCCTTGTGTTACTCCTGCTGGAGCACCTACACAAACAACTATTAACCCAATAAGTGATATGGGCTTCTCTCGGCAGAATAAAACTGTTATGAGTTAGCCAGAATAAGTGCGACACTACTTCTTAACTCCTTCACTATGGGGGACACCAGTTTTAGTACCGGTATTTAATTTAGCTAATGCCAGACGGTTCTCTTCAGCTCAGAGGCGACACTGTACACAAGGGGTTAAACTGTTAAAAGGTTAATGGGACTTTTAAATATCCAATACAGTAGTTCATTGAAAAATAGTGACCCATTTCTGAGTGTGGGGGAAAAGTTCAACACCTTGCATGGGGTACCTAATTACAACACGTTTTTTTTTTATATTCAATCCATTTCTATTGTTTTCCCGTCTAATTTAGGTTTTTCTGCTAGGATACTTAAGTGAAATCATGCATAAAACATTCCAAAATTATATAAGTTATGTTTTATACTGTATTGTTTTTGTATAAACTGTACTGTACTTTACTAAGCATTTTGCATATATTAAACAGTCCTCCAATTATAGCATGCTGAAACTACCCCACCTATGGGGTAAACTAAGCAAGATCTCGGTAAAAAAAACTACATTAAATGAAATGTCTAAAAACAAATTCAACTGTGCTATCAAACAGAGTGATGTAATACCATGTAATGACAGAAATAAAAAAAACTAATTTAGTTTACTTGGGGGGGCGGGGGGGGAACTGAAATTATTGTAATGTAAATAAAAGGTGGCAGTTTATTTTTGATTAATACAACATGAAACTTTTATGTACAGTAATTTGAAGTTCTCAGAACAAATAAGGAGTACAGTACAGTAGACAGTATTTCATCCTTACAGATGTTATACTTTTACTTTAAAATTCAGTAAAGATTTCTACATTTACTTACCCAAAAGTGGCTCATTCTCCACGGAGAAGTCTGGAATCTGGGTATCCTTGACAACTGTTGATGATGCCCTGGCATGAAGCCTGGAACACATACATACACACTATTATTATGAATTACTGCACACCAATGGAGAATATACTGTGCTGTATATGCTTCAATAACTGGTGTTATCATAAGGAGAGTAAAGGAAGGATAATGTAGAGAAAGAAAACAATACTTGACGATGAAAGTGACATTGTAAGAATGATGTTTAGTGGAGAATACTGGAATACATAGAGCATGAACAAAATATAATTCATGATATTAAAGCTTAGTTTATGTTGGTTCCTAACTGCCTTGCTTGCTTCCAGTGCATTAATAGCAGCAGATGCATGATGTTTTAAGGGTGATCCTTCATAGTGCACCACCTATGGTTTATAATCATTATCTTTGCAAATGTACAATTATCCTGTGGTCCTTTACATGTGATTAACAAATGGTCACAGATAATTTTGTTTTTCTTCATCTCCTGAACTCATAGTGGCTTAGTGGGTTTTTTATCCGTTTTTATCCCATGGTTCCTTGGACCTCATTAACACACAATCATGGTTAACCACCTTTTGTCTTTCTAAACTGGGAAGTTTAAACAGAAAAGGCACAATCTGACTATATATTATCAATGACTAACCATCCAAGCTAATTATAATGTACAGTATCTTTAAACCACACCAGCAGCTACTGATAAATGATCTCTCCCAATCGATAACCAGTACTCTTAACGAGCTGTTGTGCGAGGTTGGGTCAATGGATGCAGGAAACTCAAAGAAAGAGGGGAAAAGCTATGGTGAAGATAGCAAGAGCAGCAAGTTGAAACAACATTTAAAAATAAGGGAGACAGACAGAAAAAGAAAAAAATATATACAGTATATGGTCTGTAGTTCAGTTGTTGACATTAATACAATGTAATTACAGTAAATGACGCCATAACCCCCAATAGCTAAATTGTATATGATATATTAAATAAAAACAATGGAAATTTTAAACTTTTGGATAAATGTTTATCCCAAATATCGGTAGATACTGTACAACTTGTGATGCAACACTCACCACTTTATTCCACGTGCAAGTGGAATACTGGTGGAAGTTAAAGGGGGGGGAGGGGGTGGCGGTGTACACGGTTAGGGAGGGGGGGTGGTAACGTACACTTCTGTTGGGACACCTGTGCGTTTCCAGCTGCTGCTCATCTGAAAACTCGCCACACCTTCACACGTATACAATCTTGATAATCGTAGAGCCATAGGTACTTGTGAACTTGCCCCTAAATATACACCTATTTTCTGCATATGTAATTACTGTACAATGTGTACATAATGTAGTGTAGTGTTGGTAAGTAGAGGAGCACCTGTACTACGTAATTATGTAATATTTATCCTCCAATCTATTCTTTGTAATTCTGTAAATTAACTAAACCTAACAATATATTCTCCAAATTTTCTCAGTCAACAAATGTTTGATAATGACTCACAGTCCAGTCCAGTAAAACAGTTTCTTCAGATACTTTTTCTATAACCAGCTATTCCTCTCCCCCATTCTTGTCAAACGGTAATCTTGTAAAATGATCATTCGTCATTTTCTTTAACATTACAGGCGTATTCCCTGAGTGCCGTCGTACTAGCACGTCGACCCCTATCAAGCCGCAGAGATTGCTCATTTGTTGTGGCTAGGGCTGTGGAGCAAGGTGAGGGGGTTACCAGCCAGCAGCGTGAAGGACATAGAAAGCCCACCGACCAGCCTCGCTAGCTCTTAATACGACAGGAAGTAATGACTATCGTAGTTAAGTGCATATCTGATGAGTTTCAACACCCTCCACTTGTATTACTAGCCTTAACCCTCCTTCCCCCTATTCGACTATCTTTACCCTCCCACCTTCTCCCTGTTCTACTAATTTTAACCCACCCTTCCCCTGTTCTACTAGCCTTAACCCTCCTGTTCTACTAACCTTTACCCCTCGCATAAAATCTTCCCTATACATGCCTCCTCTCCAATTTCCACACCCGAGCTTAACCTTCATAATTATCAAGTCGTTACTTTAGCAATAGCCCCCGTTCCGCTCAGTTGATCCAGACATCCTCCTCCACTCCCTGCGTCCTTATCCTGTTGTTGAAACCTTCGCTATATATCGGAATCTCTAAACCGTTTGCGCATCCAACTTAACTTGCGCAGCCACGTCCGTCCAGTGCCTGGGGGCATTGTGTAGACATCACCCCAGTCTTCATTGTCAGGCTCAGCTTAGCAACCTCCTGCTCAAGTGCACATACAAACAGTTCGGCCACTTGAAAAGTAAAATTTGTCATTACTCATGCGTCTTCATTCGTACGATCATATATTCCTACCGTTTTGTAGAGTGCGTTTCCATCTGGACATTTTCATAACTTCTGTAACTGTACTAGCTGACGCAAGGTCAATTGACCTTGGCCTGACGCTACATGTATATGAAATCATGTGTACACCAAACCTTTCACCTGGTGTCAGCGACGTGAGCGAGTTTTCTACCCGAATATCTATTTGTAGCAAAAAGGATGATACGTTTCCGTCTTAACATAATTTATCCTTCGTAACCTTGGCAGTCCAGCCCTCTAAGTAATAATACAGTACAGTAGTGGAAATGACATCGCCCGCCAAAACCCAAGCCTCAAGAGATGTGGTGCGTCATAGGTCTCAACCTATTAACAAAACCACGCAGTACAATGCTTCACACTATAATAAGGACTTCAGTGTACGTGTATTTGTGTTTTAACTCATTTTCGGGTGGACAGTCACGAGGTTCTATGCTTTACTTTCAACAATTTAACATCAAGTCGTATTATAAAAATGCTAGTTGCACCACTGGTATAAGCTATTAAAAGCATTAAGTAGTCTAAATTTTAACAGTAGATACCGATAAACATTATATAAAAATACGTTGAAATGTTGTTTTGCTTCATGTCAAAATATATCTTCGTCTTTGTACGTCTGTCATTCATTGTTTTTCTGACAATGTTTGTGACACTACGGGTTCTCAGAATATTCCTGGTTGTCTTTATCTGTTGACACATTTACTATTACTTATCACAAGGTTCATCACTTACTATCAATAACATGTGACTCATCACGTGGTTCATCATCACTCACTATTAATGGCATGTTACTCATCACGTGGTTCATCATCACTCACTATTAATGGCATGTTACTCATCATGTGGTTCATCACTATCAGTGTCATGTTACTCATCACTATCAATGACATGTTAACCGGCACTTGGCTCATCACTAACTATAGCTATTACTGGCATGTTACTCATCACGTGGTTCATCATCACTCACTAATAGCGGATAAGTTATTCTTCTTATTAACGCCAGTACTGTAGCTCTTGGGGAGGGGAGGATGCTGTCAAGGCTGGTATCAATTTTCCTAAGACGAATTTTCCAGCCCTCTTACCCTGCAGGTTCAATGACAAAACCCCAACGGGGTTGTCATTTATCAACACTAACCTAACCTAAACATAAGTGTTTTATTTTATATATGAGACTGGGGTTTTGTCCGTTGGGGTTTTATCCGGTCACCTACCCTGCAGCAGCTGTGGTAAAGCGTCAGCTGACGTACGAGTTTAGTTAAACTGTCACGGCTGCTGGTGGCTTTTTCACGGAATTTGCGAGTCTCGCCCCATCTTATTTTTCACCCTTTTGAACACTGTTGTATAAGGCGACAATGGCTTTTTTCCCTGCCTTGATAACTTCCCCCTCCCCTGTTAAGTTATTGTCCATGGACACCTGTGATTACAAACTCGGTTTCCTATACCAAACATTTGGGATGTGTTGCTCTCAAGAATGTCCAAACAAAATGTCATAAGCTCAGAACATGGGAACAACCACAATAGTGTCTCCGGGGGCATGGTGCACCTCGCCCCTATACATCACTAATAGGTACTCAGCATGTTGTTGAACATTTATTACGTTTGTTAAAAGTTGAAAGTCTGAAACATTAATATTACCAGTACAGTATACTAAACTTTAGGTGCGTATATTCTAATGTCCTTTGAATAAGCAATATTACTCGGGCATATCCCTTCCTTCAATCTACAATTGAATAGAAATTTAGCATGTTATATGGGAAATGTTACCGTACAATTATTTGTAGTCGCCCAACTACATTGAAAACCTTTTTATATTTCTTTGTATTTTTGGTGGTGGAACATCCCCTTAAATTCATGTTCTGATAAGTAGATTTTCTCGAACTTTGTGTTACATTGACATACTTAAGGAATAAAACCACAAATGTTGAAATACGAATAAGTGGCCTAGAAGCGCTCACATGTGATTACCGGTAAGTGACCCTCTAAAGTTGAAATATTAGTAAGTGGCATCTATGCATCAACCCGCAGAACATCCATAGCCTGCTAGCCAAACAAAAGCTCATCTAAGCTGATATTTCCGCAACCGAAACTCAGTCACCTCGCAATCGATGGAAGACCCGTTATTTGAGAGTGGGACACGATCGATTACCGCAAATACAAGGTTTCGCCCGTGGCTGAGAAAAAGCGTGTTTGGTAACTAACCAGACTGGAGAAAAAAAAGAAAAAGAGGGGGGGTAGTTTATTCTATTTGGATATTTACAGGCGGGGAAAATTTACCAGAGACGGTGTGGTGAAGTCGCCACCAAAATAACTCATAAGAAACGTGATTCTTGCCCGGTATGGTCTCGTAGGACTCTTCTTAGCAACTTCATGGCAACTGGATATAATCTGACAAAGCGGAAAGTAAGGCATACTTGTAACATAAATTTAATTAATTAAATTATTCTCCCTCCCTGTGTTCGGGTGGGATAATCCCCATAAAAAAAAAAAGTGTACAAGGAAACTAGAATCAGAGAAACATTATAATGGTTACTGGCTTGCTGCCCACAGATTTCAACTTCAAAACAATAATCATTACTTTAAAATAGACTACGAAGACACCGTAATATTAACGATTCATTTTCATTAACTCTCAGCACTTTCTACCCTTCGTGGTTTCGTTCTGTAAGGTGTAGTCAAGCTGGTGTCTGGTCCAGGTAGACACGGTACTGTCTCACACGGGTGAAATCCGGCCACCACATTGTAGATATTTGCGTCTCTGACTACCAAAATTCTTCCTATGCATTAGTATTCCGTTTTCCTCTTCCTACAGGTGGGTGAGCGGAAATATGTTTTTACTGCATGTTGTGACATTCAAAATAGGTGTGGCCTACTTTTAAAACGATTCACTGTTAATCGCATGGTCTGGTTCACCTTACATAAAGAGCACTTGAACTCCAGATCTGATTAACAAATAAGTACATTTATAATGTACACCAGGACTCATATTATCAAAGATTCATACGTTGAATTCTTCCCGTACTCAACGATGTAAAAAAAAAAAAAAAACACAATAACGTTTAAAATAAAACAAAATTACACAGTCCTTTACAGCTGAGAGACACACACTTTATGTCTCAAAGAAACATGTTATATTTCCCACAACGATAACACGTTCCAATTCTCACCACACATGATAGCACAACAATCGACCCGGCAACTGTACTATATACCTTTATCCAGTTGAGGTAAAGGGGATATAATGAACATAATCTTGCCCAAATAATCTAACCTTAACTTACCAATTAACTTAATCTCGCCAAAATAACTTTTGTGAATCGAGCCAATTGACCTAGACCGAATTATTTAACAAACGCAATTAACCCAACCAAACAATAACTGAAGCCAATTAATCCTAAACTAACTTAAATAATCTAACCCAAATCACGGGGAATTCCACAAACACCTCACCACGCTACACCCTCTCTTATTCCGTCAATACTTTTCGGGTTCCACCTCATACCACCACAAACCATCCCCTAAAAAGCCACCAGTGTAAGCCTTTATGGAAACCCTCACGCATTATATCAATTTAATAAATAAATCCGATGTTCAGGTATATAAGCAATGTTAATGAGCAAAATTATACCCCGGGAGTATAGTTCTTATACTATAGTACTATGGGTGGTTAAATTAGGATGTACGTAGAGTTGGTTACGTTTGATTGGATTAGTAATAAATCATGTTAGGATACGTTACGTTTGAAATTATATTACTTTGGGTTTTATTATGTTAAGAATACGGTATTTTTGGTTTCGTTAGGTTGAGTAAGAGAATTTTGCGAGTGCCCTCAATATTTAAGGCCCATAAACTGCCAGCGTTACACCACGAGACGAGTCAATGTGTCTCTTTGAATACTGATGCCCACTGCGCGCCATGTTGCATCCTAATCAATAATATTTTAATATAATCCATAAAATATAATTACCGTACAGTTAGAAAGCAGTGTTGATATACAGTGTAAGTGCAGGCCTATAATAAACCATGCCACTATCTGAGGCTTTCTTTTACGTTATTTTGTTTTGTACTTCGTAAAGACGTCTCTTTCTTGCGACATCTGAAGACAAGAAATGTTAGAATTAAGTCATGCTGTGATGTCACTAAACCACACTCAGTTGTTACGGTAACCGTTATACAGTAATACCTATTTAGTGTAGCATTAACGTTTTTAATCGTGTGGCATTATGTTAACACTCTTAATCAGTCATGGTTATCAGCATTGTAATTCTTCTGGTTTAAGTGGTGTTAAGCGTTACCCACTTGTTAACGCTGCTGGTAACATCCTCAGCGTCCCCGGCAACTGGCAACTCGTCCGTGACACCAAAGTCTGCGACCCTCACCAAACCCCTCATTTTCCCCTCGTGCCATCACCGCCCGAGGCCTCAAACTGAGGATCACCCATAACTAATGCCTCAAAACATTCCCAAGAATTTAATCCTAAGGCATTGATGTCAGTCTTACCTCTGAATTGTACAACGGAGAGAAATTCTGGCGGACGATAACATGGTGTAGTCACAGCTGAGGACTAACTGTGTCGTCTGCTGGTGCGTAGCTGTGGTGCGCACCGCTTGGCCAGGGAGGTGCCAAGTGTGGGGAAACTACACCTACTTTTACTAACATTTTCTACCTTTATCTCGCATTTCTCATTATATTCCATCTAGTTACTATTATTTCAGTGTTATTAATTTATTATTAATCGCACCTAAAATGTATGGATGGTTATATTTATATCACATATTGTTTACTGAACGGAAAGTTCCTACGATGCCATGCGCTGCAATAATTTTTAAGTAATTTTAGTCACTTTCTCTTTTGGTATTGTACAGTTTCCTCCTTAGTTTGAAGTTCTGTTGTAATTTATGCTTTCACTACATCAGTGTTTGCTTCCAATTCATTTTATTGGAATGTTTTCGATATCTAACGTATTACATTTTTTTATTGCAAGAAGAATGGTAGCTATATGACCACGATGTTCAAATTAGTTAGAAGTGACAGTACAGATTACAGATTGCCTACGAGGGGGCTAGTTTATTGGGCACCCCCTTACATCCTGTGCAAGGTGAAGCGCAGAAGCGTTTACAGTGCCTAACTGGGAAGCATACGGAGTTCATGCTTGCCTTTATGACTCATGCATTAAGGGCGTGAAAGCCTGAAGGGTCATGGGTTTTGTCAGCAAGTTACATAAAGTGACAGAATGATGTGTGTGTGTGTGGGGGGGGGGGGATTCCCGGTACAATTTATCTGTTTATGGCAAAGTGTGGCAGGTCCCTAATAATGTCAAGTGCCAGGCCAGTGACTAGGAGAAGGGATATCTGGTCAGGGAGGGAAGAGGTGCCACCCCTGTAGGAGAGAGGGTGTGAGAATCGGTTGACCACAAAGTTTACAAACAGTGCGGCCAGGCTCAGGGATGCCAATGAACTAGGCGTGGCGAAGTACAGTGGGGGTGGTGGAGGTGATATGTTGTGGTGGGGCAGGTACAGTAGGGGTGGAGGGAGGCACATAGGCATTGACAACATTGAGGGACACACCTTTTAGTGTAATTGTGATGGTGTGTGCGTCGACATGTCGGTGGGGTACAGGTAGCCGGGGATGGATGCCCACCCACTCTTACCCCCACTGTATGCAGAAGCCTATCATCCTGAGCTTGCATTTTGTGTTTTCTGAAGTGAGTCAAAAGACGACAGAGACTCTTTTGACCTCTGCGGTGATGCATTTTATGTGATATTAGGAAAATGAAATATTATCTCTGGTGAGTTTACCTGTTTGGTAACCCGGGCATGAATTAATGTAAAATTTATAAATTTAATGCTATTTTCAGACAATTGTTTTTAGGTTTAACTCAAGCAGATATATGTACACTCTTACAGCTATTATAAGGAGTTTTAATTATGCGAAACTTGACAATTTAGACATTTATTCATTGTTCGACATTTAGTTGCGCAATGTGATCAAATAAACACGTTGATGCGACACTTTTCATTCTAGGATGGACAGTGTCTGCCTTTCAAGCAAGTCTGGAATATAAGTATATTAAAGTGATTTGTATTGAGCCTCAAAGTCGTGTGAAGGGGGGGGGGAGAGTCGGTGCGTTTGGGATGAAGTCAGTGCCTCTTGTAGGGTGTCAGTGGTCGTGGGAGGGTGTCAGTGCTTATGGGAGGGTGTCAGTGCCTGTGGGAGGGTGTAAGTGCTTGTGGGAGGGTGTTAGTGCCTGTGGAAAGGTGTCATTAATTTAATTTTTAAAATTTTTGTCTACAGCGACTAGTTTATTGTGCACCACGTACTCATCTAATGAGCGGTAGCGCAAAAGGATTACAGAATAGAGTTCACAAAGGGCCTGTATAACTAACCCCCGTGGTCTGGATATTATTGCGTTGAATGTTACAGAGTATTTCAAATAACTTATTTGTTTAGTTCTGTGACTCATTCGCTGCTTCGTGAGTACAGCAGTCTGAGGCAACATGTCTGGCCATACACTTTGTTATTCACATTTGCGTGAGAGGTATTCAGGAACATTGTTTGGTTCTATACATGAGAAATAAAGTAGCTGCTGAGTGCAAAAAAGTGGATACAATCTTAAAATGTCGGCTATTTCACACACAGTGTGCTTGAACCTGTCCCTAAAGGGCTTTGTTTTCACACAGTCAAGGACGTAGTGTTGGAGTGTGTGACCATATGTTTCACCACACACTTTACATTCAGTCTTGTTCTCATCTGCTTGAGGGATATACTTATATCATAACCTTAGTCTAGCGGTTACAACATCTTGTAATCTAGTGATCTTGTTACTTGCTCCATATACATGTTTCACTTGATACATTTCATCATGGTAAACAATGGATTGACTAGTGTCTGTTTGCACTTGTCTGCTTGCGTCAGACTCATCAACCAGTTCTTTCCTGCTTACAGTTTTTAGGGTTCTTTTTGATACTCAGATTGTATTCAACAGTGTCTTTGTTAGACGTGATTTTGGCTAGGGCATCGACTCGCATGTTCTTTGAGGCCAATGTGAGAGGGGATCCACAACGGCTTGATCATGACACCTTGGGCATCAAGGTACGCACGCATATTTGTGCCTGGCTTCAGTGACGCGCGTGACAACTTGAGTTGAGGGTATCAAGAGAGTCAGTGATGATGAGACTGTCAGTGGCAGTGGTTTCCATAAATTTGATAGCCGTGAGTATGGCAACTAATTCAGTTTGTTGAGTGGATGCCCAGTTGTTAATTCTAACTCCTTTTTCAACTGTATTGCCGTTAGGTTGAGCCACAACGATAGCGCTTCCAGTCCTCCCATAGGCAGTTAAGAGATCCATCAGTGTACAGTATATGGTCTGTGTGATATTATCATCAGTCTGTAGAGTGTGTATGTGTTCAAGAGCTCTCACTTCGGCAGTGTGTTGGAGATAAATACTTGTATAAATAATCGTTTAGGCGGATATGTCGGTATTGTGTTATCGAAGGGAACTGTCCGCCAGGGTGGTAGGAAGTGAAGTTGTGTCTCAACTTTGTACAGATGGTCTAGTCCAGACATCTTCGTAGGTGTAGCTGTAGTTTGGATCCATTTTGATTCACCAGTCTCATGATTCATATATATTACACATGATGCCATTTCTTGCGTCGGTTTACAGCTCAATTAAAGATGATTTGATAGGAAAGACTACAATCAAGGAAATGAGAGCTTTCTTTTGATACTGATATAGATGTGGTGAACAGGCAGAAGCAGACATAAAGACGCCTTATATTATATTGCTTAGTTAATTGGTCGATGAGGTTGACCTTGGCGAGAGTCGCTGGGAGATTGCTTACAGGGCGGCCACTCTTTTACCCCATACTGTTTTTTTCCTTACTGAGACATATAAATCGCTGATAATGGTGAGGTTTTATTCATATATCTAATATTTGTTTTTAATGAAAAATTAAACTGCGAGTGAATACATTTTTAAAAAATCTGATCTATTTTTATCCGTGACCCCTCAAGTGGATACCAGATATCGCCAGAAACATCCAAGGAATATTATGTGCGAACATTAATAGTTGTTACTAGGTGGTGAGCTGTGGGCAGGCTTAAAATAAACTAAGCTAATCATTTGACATTAGTTGTGTTTAAATGAGTAAAGCAGTTTACCCCTAGTGCCGTGTGTGTGTGTGTGCTTCATTGAATATTTCGGGTATTGAAAATATGTCATATGAATAAAATAATTTGTGGCATTTTTATCCATATAACATCTTTTGACAAATTATCGTACTTTCAATAAGTGTTATCTTGTTTAATATATATTGCTTCATCAGGAACCCTCACCACAGGCACTGAAACCCTCCAACAGGCACTGACACCCTCCAACAGGCACTGACACCCTCCAACAGGTACTGACACCTTCCCACAGGCACTGACACCCTCCAACAGGTACTGACACCCTCCAACAGGTACTGACACCCTCCAACAGGTACTGACACCTTCCCACAGGCACTGACACCCTCCTACAGGCACAGGCACTGACACCCTCCAACAAGCACTGACACCTTCCCAAAGCACTGACACCCTCCAACAAGTACTAACACCTTCCCATAAGCACTGACACCCTCCTACAGGCACTGACACCCTCCCACAGGCACTGACACCCTCCAATAAATACTAACACCTTCCCATAAGCACTGACACCCTCCTACAGGCCTGACCAGGGGCCTCAGGGGACTACCAAGGGGCCCCAGAGGCCCTACCAGGGCCAAGGGTTCCATGGGACCATCAGCGGGCACCCAGGGGGACCAACCAGGGCCAGGGGCTCCATTGGACTAGCATAAGGTGGCCCAATTGGACTACTAAATATCCACCAGGGACCCCATGGGACAACCAAAGGTTCTCTAGGGGCCCCCAGGGGACCTGCCAGTGGCACCATGGGACTACCAGGAAGCCTACCAGGGCACCATGAGACTACCAGGGGGCTCCCAGGATCCCATTGGAGTACCATGAGGCACCAGGGGCCGGTGCCCCATGGGTATACAAGGGATCCCCCAGGGGACCCATGGGGCTACCAGGGGTCCCCCAGGGGCAATATCAGGACCAAGGGCTCATGGAACTACTGCACATAAGGGCCCGACCAGGGCCAGGGGCCTCTTGGTACTACCAAGAAGCCTACCTCATCCAGGTGCCCCATGGTACCCCGCAGAGGCCCTCCAAGGCCTGGACAGGGGCCTCGTGGGACTAACAGAGGGCCCCAGAGGCCCTACCAGGGTCCTATAGGACTACCAGGGTCAGGGGCTCCATGGTGTTACCAGTAGCCTACCAGGGACTCATGGGCCTACCAGGTGACCCCCAGGGGACCTATCAGAATCACGGGCCCCATGGCACTATCAGGGGTGGCACTATCAGGGGTCCCCCAGGAGGCCCATGGGACTATCAGGTGGCCCCCATGGGCTTACCAGGGCTAGGGGCCCTATGAGATTACCAGGGGTCCTTAGGGGCCTACCAGGGTAACCCTTCCTATCTGGGAGGGGGCTGCCACTTCACAAATATTTGGATGCAGTTTGAAAAGATGTTTAGCTTAATTACTTGTATTTTAAAATTTTTGTGT